CACGACGCCCTCACCGACCCTCACCGACCCCTCACCGACCCCTCACCGACCCCTCACCGACGCCTCACCGACCCTCACCGACCCTCACCGACCCCTCACCGACCCCTCACCGACCCCTCACCGACCCCTCACCGACCCCTCACCGACCCTCACCGACGCCTCACCGACCCCTCACCGACCCCTCACCGACCCCTCACCGACCCCTCACCGACCCCTCACCGAGCCTCACCGACGCCTCACCGACCCTCACCGACGCCTCACCGACCCCTCACCGACCCCTCACCGACGCCTCACCGACCCTCACCGACCCCTCACCGACCCCTCACCGACCCCTCACCGACCCCTCACCGACGCCTCACCGACCCTCACCGACCCCTCACCGACCCCTCACCGACGCCTCACCGACCCCTCACCGACCCCTCACCGACCCCTCACCGACCCCTCACCGACCCCTCACCGACCCCTCACCGACCCCTCACCGACGCCTCACCGACCCTCACCGACCCCTCACCGACCCCTCACCGACCCCTCACCGACCCCTCACCGACCCTCACCGACCCCTCACCGACCCCTCACCGACCCCTCACCGACCCCTCACCGACGCCTCACCGACCCCTCACCGACGCCTCACCGACCCCTCACCGACCCCTCACCGACGCCTCACCGACCCCTCACCGACCCTCACCGACCCCTCACCGACCCCTCACCGACGCCTCACCGACCCCTCACCGACGCCTCACCGACCCCTGACCCCCTCACCGACCCCTCACCGACGCCTCACCGACCCTCACCGACCCTCACCGACCCCTCACCGACCCCTCACCGACCCCTCACCGACCCCTCACCGACCCCTCACCGACCCTCACCGACCCCTCACCGACCCCTCACCGACCCCTCACGACCCCTCACCGACCCCTCACCGACCCCTCACCGACCCTCACCGACCCCTCACCGACCCCTCACCGACCCTCACCGACCCCTCACCGACCCCTCACCGCCTCACCGACCCCTCACCGACGCCTCACCGACCCTCACCGAGCCTCACCGACCCCTCACCGACCCTCACCGACGCCTCACCGACCCCTCACCGACCCTCACCGACCCCTCACCGACCCCTCACCGACGCCTCACCGACCCCTCACCGACGCCTCACCGACCCCTCACCGACCCCTCACCGACCCCTCACCGACGCCTCACCGACCCTCACCGACCCCTCACCGACCCCTCACCCCTCACCGACCCTCACCGACCCCTCACCGACCCCTCACCGACCCCTCACCGACCCCTCACCGACCCCTCACCGACCCTCACCGACGCCTCACCGACGCCTCACCGACCCCTCACCGACCCCTCACCGACCCCTCACCGACCCCTCACCGACCCCTCACCGACCCCTCACCGACGCCTCACCGACGCCCTCACCGACGGCCTCACCGACGCCCTCACCGACGCCCTACCGACGCCCTCACCGACGCCTCACCGACCCCTCACCGACGCCCTCACCGACGCCCTACCGACGCCCTCACCGACGCCTCACCGACCCCTCACCGACCCCTCACCGACCCCTCACCGACGCCCTTCGGCTCCTCCGTGGACGTGGAACCGACGACGCAGCAGCGGCGGCGGGAATTAGACGTTGCACACTTTATTAGGTATTACTTTATTTTTGCATTTCAGTTTAACTGCTTCGGTTGTGTACTGCTTTACAAACTTTGAACAGCTTTTCAAACGAAAAAAAAAATGTCCTCGGCGATTCTGTTTCCGTGTTATTTTTCGTCGATGTTGTTATATATCTTTTTTTTTGGAGTTTTCATTTTATTCGTTAATCAGGCAATTTTTTTTATTTTATTATTCCGTAACCCCCGCGCGTCTCCCTCTCCTCCGTCCTTTCCCTTCCCGCTCCCAGGCTTCCGACCAAGCGCAAAATCAGGAGGAACACCCCAAGTGCTCGTGTCGTTACGCGAGAGAGAGAGAGGCAGAGAGGGGGCGGACGGAGCAACGCTTGCGACTTGCCAATGATTTCCACGGTGAAATGCTCGAGCATCTAGGCACACGTACACGCGCTCTCACGACACGCCCTGGGCCGGAGAACTCCTCGCCCCGGAATCCCAACGGATCACCCCCCCCCCCCCCATCCGGTTCTCTTCCCCGCCCCAGAATCCCAAATCCATCTCCGGAACACTCTTTTCCCCGCCCGGGAATCCCAACAATCCCCGACTTGTTTCGCTCACCGGAACCTCAACGATTCTCGACTTCTTCTTTTCTCTCCGGAATCAAAGCGATTCCCGTATGCCCCCACCCCCCACTCCCTCCCTTCCCCGCATCAGAATCCCAACGATTCAGGACTTGTTTCCTTTCTGGAATGCCAACGATTCCAGACTCGTTTTCTCTCCAGAATCCCACGCAATTCCAGAATGCGTTTTCCCCGGCGTGGGGAATCTCCAACGATCCCAAAACATTTTCCCGGCACGGGGAATCTCCAACGATCCCGGAGTTCTTTCACGCCCCGGATGAAATTCCCCGTCGATTCCCGGGGGCTTGTATATACGGTGCCACGCTTTAACACCAAACTAAACTTTTGGAGGAAAAATGAAATACAAAATAGATGGCGGGCGGGCGACGCATTTTCTCTCCCCACCCAATATCTTCAGTTATTAATTTTTTTTTTGGTAAAATTATCGCTTCCAAGGTTTACCGCCTTAACACAAAAAAAATTCAAAGGGACAAGGCGCGCGATTACAAGCAACATCTCAAAAGGCTGATGATCAGTTTGGGGGGGGGGGGGAGGGGGGGGGTGAAGGAATGGAAAATGAAAAAGGTGGGGAGGGAGGGTGGTAGGGGGAGGCGGGGTAAGGATGTGTGCAATTTCCCATCTTGAAATAAAACGAGCAAGATTTTTTGAAAAATTGGAGAAAAAAAAACAAACCCCAAAGTTGACGTCGTTGAACTCGCCCCTCTCCCCCGCATCCCACCCCCCCCCCCCCTCCCTCCTCCAGTGCCGTTCGGCGGCAAACCAAAAATAACAAAGCAGCGGCAAATCTTCTCCGAGCTGATGATGGCGACACACACGTGCACCCGGATACCACACACACACTCAGGCAGGTGCACACACACACGCACCACACAGATCCTCGCCCCCACCACACACAGACTCTACAGGGCAGGCGCTGTTAGCGGAGTAGCAGCAGCACCTATTGAAGGCCGGCACAGCACAGGAGGGGGGGGGGGGGTCCAGGGTGGCCAGTACGATGTTGAGGCCACGCTTTGTCTCCCCAGTGGCGATGTTTACTACACACCGCACCCAGGTACTCATTTGAGGCCGAGTCGACCAAGGGGAGGACCAGGATCGGTTCAGATAATCGTCACCGATGTTGGTGGCCGTGAGAGCGGGTCGCCGGGTTCGTAGCGCAGCGTTGCGCTAACCGCTGCCCACCACTGACACACACGCACGCAAACACCTCCCGACACAAAAAAGCAGATGCGCGCGCGCGCACACACACAAGGTCACACATCTGAAACCACACTGACACACAAGCCGAAAAACGGCACACAGATACCACCTACGTGGATAGCCACACAGAGAAACATGGACACACACGCGCACGGACGCATGAAGGCACACACACACACACATCCTCGCACGCACAGGCAGAGAGACAGACAGACCACTGAGGGCCCAGGGACATGCGGGAGGGGGGTCAGGCAAGGCAAAGGTGACCGGATGGAGCTGGGCGAGCTGGGCAGGGTGACAATGCCGTAGGGGAGGGGGGGTTGAGGAGGATGGTGGTCGGGAGTGGTGCGATGCGGCACGGGTGGCCTATTGCAGCTGACGGGGCAACGAGAGAGAGAGAGCTGATGAGCACGTGGCGCGTGGGGCCGGCTGCGTTATAAACACGGGGGGGCGGCAGGGGCCCGGCAGAGCCGTGGCTGAGCGTGCGGTTGAGCGGTTAGCGGCGGCATGCGCCGGCGCCGACGACGGGGGTCGGACACACGGGGGTCAGACACGCGGCGGCTGTCCCACCCCCCCCGACGCGTCGCGAGTCTACGCCGCCGCCGCCGCTCCTCGCTCGCCCGGCACCACTTTACTCGGCCACCCCGACCTGACGCAGCACTCGCTCCACGGTGAAGCCCTGCGCACGCACACACACGCACACACACGCACACACACGCGCACACACACACGGGGGGAGAGGTCACGGGCGGTCGGACGCAATCGGAGGCCAGGAGCGCGACCGGTAGATGTGGCCGGACGAAACTGAACGGAACGTGACGACGATCGCCGCTGGCATCGCGCGCCAATCTGCGACGGCGGCCGGCAGGCGTGTGACACAATTGCCGTGAGGACGGTTGTAAATTCTGAGTTTAAGAATTAAAAGGCAGGTTGGGGAAAAAAACAAGCGGACTAATCACCATCTGTTACGTCTGTTTGGGATAGAGCGTTGCCCCACTCGCACGCACCGGTTTCCTCTCACGTTTAAAACATTCATCAAGTGTTCTTGGTTCTTTCGGTAAAGTCACGTAGAAGGGAAGTAATTAAATAATAAAAATTAAACATAATAAAATAATTCTCACGACGTTTCGGCCACAACGCAAGCAGCCGTCCTCAGGTGAAGAACAGGTCTTTCGTCATCATCGGCGAATGTTCATTCAGACGCTGTCTTTCCGACAGACCTGTTCTTCACCTGCGGACGGCTGCTTGCGTTGTGGCCGAAACGTCGTGAGAATTATTTTATTATGTTTAATTTTTATTATTTAATTACTTCCCTTCTACGTGACTTTACCGAAAGAACCAAGAAGATGAATCCCTGCAGTCACGAAAGCTTTAAATCGAAAGTCGTCATTTGTTTCATTTTATTTCTAACTACGTGACTTTACCGAAAGAACAAACGAGTTTTATTGTTGTTGTTGTGTTTGTTATTCAAACACCTGGGCCCCCCTCCTCCTCCTCACCTTGGTGCTGTCTGGGCCGCGAGGCTGTCGCGTGACGGTGAGGCGCGGGGCGCTGTTGTCGTCCAGGGTGAGGCTCTTGAGACGGCTCACCAGACGCTCTGGCCGCGGGGACGGAGTCATCTTCGACGCCTCGCTGCGTGTCGGGGGGCCGACAAGGGGGGGGGGGGGCAGGGGCGGGCAGGAAGTTGGCAGAGGGGCAGGGAGGGGGCAGGTGGCAGAGGGGTAGGCGAGTCGATCAGAGGGTGTACTTTCAAACCCCTGGGGTCTGGCGTCTCTCACTTGATCGCCCTCTTCTCAGATGCGATTAAACTGGACAATGATGATGATGTAGATGCACAAACGGGAAATTGACAAACTCTCCGCGCAGTGCCAGAATAGAACCGTGGACACGTCATGACGTCGACTCGGTGAGCGAGTCACAAACACGGAGAGGGGGGCGGGGGCGTCACAACACTCTGCTACTCCTGATGCAATCATCTGGCTCGACCACTACAGCGAGTAAAATCATAGCTGTTGCTCTAAGTCCACATCAGCCGTACGTAACTAGCCGTGCTAATGAGAGGTGCGGAGGAAGGATAACAAACTCTGTGTCTCCGTGCGAGTCTATGGGTCTCCGTGCGAGTCTATGTATGTATAAAATGTTGACCTTCTTTGGCACCGTACGTGCCAAAGGGACGAACGAGAAGCAGACTCGTCATCGCGGCGACGATTTCGTCACGTCAATGGGAGTGCGCGAAAGCTTAGCGGCCGAGGCGCGCGCAAGCGTGTCGGCGTACCCGATGCGGCGCACGTTGCAGGCACTGCTCTTGCTGGTGCGCGGGTTGAAGACGACGTGGAACTCCACCTCGTCGTTGGGCATCAGCTCGAGGCCGTCCAGCACCTCGCTCACGTGGAAGAAGAGCTTCTTGCTGTCGCCGACCTCGTACGCGATGAAGCCAAACTGAGCGCGTGCCAGACGCGGAGGAAAGAAAAAATGCACAGCGATCAGAATCGGAATCGGAGTCTGATTCCGATTTATCCCGGAGGAGTGTCGTCGATGGGTGCCGTGCGTTCGGTCGGAGTACGGGGTCGGCGGGTGACATCGACAAACCGTACCAAACAAAAGTCGCTAAATATAAAGGAGACAAGTGTAAGGGTTACACGGCGTCACAAAAAGTCAGACCCTGAAATATGATGTCACGAAGCTCTACCCACCCCCCCCCCCCAAAAAAAAATGCTTCAAATCGCTTTAAACTATGTTGTAGGAGAAAACATTTATTAAAAAGTCTATTTGATTAAGTAGAACGTGTTGTCTATATTTATTTATAAAGTTGCGTATTTTGAGTGACGTCACATTTCTCAAACCCCCCCCCCCCCCCCACCTCGTCACACATCGTCACAAATGTCTGACCCCCCCACCCCCAAGGTGCGTGCCGCCTTTGCACGCGTACATCAGCTAAAACGTGGGGTGGTTCTGGGAATGCTGCCTTGCCCCCAAAGCTTGTGTTTTGGGTGTCGACAAATCGGCAGGAATTTACGAATCGTATTTGGCCGCCGTGAATGTCCACGGGATGATGCCGCTTCATCGTTGAGCCATAATTCGTGGCCCAGGTGGGTCAGTGTCTGTCAAAAAAAACCGAGCTACAGAGCTCAGCAGGGGGGCCTTACCTGTTAAATAAAAACATAGTTTGGAAGGCCTCACCACAGAGACGATCTCCCTCTCTGTGCCTATGTGTTGCTCTCTCTCTATGTATCTTGGTGATATCTGTCTGCTTATATGTCTGTCTATAGTTTTCTGGTTAGATTTTTGTTGCCATTTCATTTATACCTGATGATTGCTTGTGTTGCAATCGAAACATCGTATGCTATTATTTCATTTATTATTTTATCTTTACACATGATTTTACCGAAAGAACCAAAGAGTAGTTGGAAGCAGTAGTTAATTAACGCCACGCCCGCAGTATTAACTGGGGCGGACACCCGGTCTGGAACCACGGACCCCCACACTCCATGCAATAACGCGAAGGATAGCGGAGTCCCACTTACCTCACTCTTGACCGAGTCGATGTAGGCCCTCTCGAGCTTGCGCATGGGCGTGATGTTGCAGGCCATGAGCGCCCCCCCAGTGGCCGTGACGGTGCACAGCTGGAACTTGACGTTCTCGCCCTTCTGCAGGTACTCGCAGCGGCTTGCCAGCCCCACCACGCCGTACGGGAAAGTGTCGCCCTTCAGGGCACCTGCAACAAATACGCGAGTCGATCGATCGCTCGCAAGAGCGGCAAGATTCTAGCTTGCTTTCCAACAGGGTATGCTATTCCATCGCACACCTCCCGCCCAGCGCACCCGATTTGATTTGTCTAGAACAGGGGCGGGGAAACTTTTTTCTGCCAAGGACCATTTGTGTATTTATAACATCATTTGCGGGCCATACAAAATCATCAACTTAAAAATTAGCCTGTTATATTTGTTCTAGATTTTAAGCTTTCGTGACTGCAAGGATTCATACTCTTAGTTCTTTCGGTAAAGTCACCATGTAGGTAAAAAATGAAATTAAAATTAATAAAAATAAAATGCAGCTAATCTGGCTGTGACGGTCCCACCTGATGACGGAGACTTGTGTTGCCTCCGAAACGTCGTGATTTTATTGTTTTATTTTTATAAATTTTTATTTCATTTTTTACCTACGTGACTTTACTGTTATATTTGGCCAAACATTCAATTAACTCGCCCCTAATACGACGGCTGGAACTGCTTCTCTTTGGCGAGGCGTGTGATGTTAGCTGGTATTGATGATTCTAGATTTGAAGCTTTCGTGACTGCAAGGATTCATACTCTTAGGTTTTTTCGGTAAAGTCACGTAGGTAAAAAATTAAATTAATAAAAGTAATAGAAATAAAATAAAATAATAATATAAAAATAATTTATTATTTTATTTTATTTCTATTATTACTTTTATTAATTTTAATTTAATTTTTTTTCCTACATGACTTTACCGAAAAAACCTAAGAGTATGGTATTGATGATGTTGCTACTTCGCAACTGCTTTTCCAGGTTTGCTCCTAGATTTGTTGAATTTCGAGTCCCGCCTGCGGTTGCCTTGGCAGGGCCACACCAAATGATTTGGGCCGGACGTTCCCCACCCCTGGTCTAGAAGAACACCCCCACAGTGGCAGCCCTTCCTGTGCGGCAAAAGGTTGACAGGGCAACTGGCCCCCGAGCGGGCATGAGTTTGTCAGTAAGGAGGCGATGATTGCCGTTACGTGGTCTAGCCTCGGACACACCCCCATTGGCAGCTCTCCCTGTGCGGGGCACAAGGTTGACTTGGCATCACGTGAAAAGTGGCGTACCACAGTGGCGAGGAGATGTTAACTACCTCGCCTGGTATACAGGAGGTCGTGGGTTCAATCACAACCCTGACCCCCGGTATATTTGAAGTTTGCATGTTTTCCCTGCGGAACGTGAGGATTTTTCCCCGGGTCCTGCGGTTTTTACATCCAACATTGGCAATCGATGTCACGCGTTTGGAGTATATGGCTGCTACACATTTCCACGTGATCATGTGTGGCCGGGTCGCTTCTGAAAAAGAGCTACGCAGTTTCGGTGGGAGGGCCTTACACCACCGGGCGAAATAAAAAAAATAGTCCAGCTTTGTGAAAAGCGATTCCCCAGAATCGCTCGCTTAAAAGGAGACTCTACAAAAAAATAAATCGCGATGGCCGTCAAGGTCCGTGCGATCGCAGGTCGGCATGTTCAGCTAGGTGGGGGAGGGGGGGGGGGTGAAAGGTACGCACAGTCCTCGGTGACCTCCACCAGCCCCTGGTATTCGGCCTGCTGGGGATCGACGCTGCGGAGAGGCCGGGCCACCTTGCCCAGGTAAATCGTCGGCTGCACGTCGTCCTTGGGTACGTTTCCTGCGTGGGGAGGGAGGGAGATGGGGGCCCACAGACATCCCGGACACGTGTCTTTTTCACGAACCCGCGTGCTTTTCAGACGGCGAGCTTTCGGTAAAGCCGTCGAACAAAGGACGGGTCGGTCTTCGCCGCGTCGCGCGGCGCTTCAAAGTGCGCTTCCGCGGCCCTCTGGAAAGCTCTTGCCTTCCGATATTAGGAAGCCACTGGGCAGCTATGCACTTTTAAATCATCATCACCATCATCATCTAGATTGATAAACTCATTTCATTAGAACTGTTGTCACACCCCCCGCACCTCCGATTAGCACGGTTGGCTACGTACGTTGAGCGAAAGATGTTCAACATACATATAAACCATCGTAAAAAAAAACGCTGCCCCAACCGCCCACCTTCACGAGTGGACAAAGGCACGTCCCACTACAGCCGGGCCATGCAGTTTAACGCCGTGCCAGGCCACGGTCATGTCATGCCGAGCCACGCTCTGCCATGCCAAGTCATACTTTTTCATGCCGTGCCAGGCCATTCCAGGCCATGTCAGACCACACCGCATCACGCGGAGCCAAAAATTGTAAATGTTGTGGTTTTACTCTTCAACACACCGGTGGGCTAAAGCAGTGAACTATTTGTCTTTTGTCAACGTGACACTTTTTTGCTGATTGGCCGTGTCGGGTGGTGGAGGGTTACGACACATTTATAAATAACGCAATCTAACCCAAAAACGTTGATTATGAATTGTTTTAATGTGTGTTACACACTCTCCTTTTTTGTATTTGGATGGCCACCAACTTTGGCTAAAACAACATGTGCACCTTGAGCATGTGACCTGTTGTTCTCTTATAGCCCCCCCTCCCCCCCAATACGTTCCATTCATTGGCTACCACACTCAGATAAGCTCCTCCCCCCCTCCTCCCCCCCCTTAACTTGTATTTAAGAACTTGTATCTTGAAATGTTTTGCCTCACTTCATACAGTAAATCTAGCTGTGACAGTCCCACCTGACGGCGGAGACTTGTGTTTCCCCCGAAACGTTGTGATTTATTATTTTATTTCTCTTCTTGGTTCTTTCGGTAAAGTCACGTAGAAGGGAAGTAATAAAATAATAAAAATAAAACATAATAAAATTATTCTCACGACGTTTCGGCCACAACGCAAGCAGCCGTCCTCAGGTGAAAACCAGGTCTGAGGATGGCTACTTGCGTTGTGGCCGAAACGTCGTGAGAATTATTTTATTATGTTTTATTTTTATTATTTTATTACTTCCCTTCTACGTGACTTTACCGAAAGAACCAAGAAGATGAATCCCTGCAGTCACGAAAGCTTAAATCGATATTTTATTTCTATTATTACTTTTATAATTTCAGTTTTTTGGTTTTTTACCTACGTGACTTTACCCAAAAATCCTAAGATAGTGTGTCACACGATGCCATTCTGCGCCAGGCCACGCCGTGTCTCGCCGAGCGATGCTGAGCAACGCTACGCCGGGCTGCGTGACGCTACGCTGTGCTAGGCCACGTCCAACCAGGCCAAGCCATGCTGAGCAACGCTACGCCGGGCTGCGTGACGCCACGCTGTGCTAGGCCACGTCCAACCAGGCCAAGCCACCCCGTGCCGCCCCGGTCGGAGCGACTCACCGCTGGTGATCTTGGACACCTTGTCAGCGCTCGTCTTGTTCGCCTTGGTCTTGGACAGCGAGTACTCCACGGCGTCGCCCACCTCCAGCAAGTCCACGTCGCCGTTGTACTCGCTGTGTACGCACACGCACACAGATTCCCCCCCGTATAGGCTCAACGGAACGTTGGGGCCAGAGTGCTGTTAGCAGACCGAGCAGCAGCTACGAAGGCCAATACGGTACACAACAGGGGATGGGGGTGGTCAGCAACACGCCCGGCCACCTTTGTCTCCCCGGTGATGATGTTTGATACACACCGCACCAGGCACTCGTTTAAAAGGCCGAGCCGACGTAGGTTCAGATAATCTTCACCGATGTTGGCTTTTGAGCAGGATTCAAACTCGGGTCTCCGGGTTCGTCGTGCAGGGCTAACGATTGCACTACCGCTCTCCCCACGCGTGCACACACACGCGCACACATATGCAGGCGGTCCCCCCGCCCCCCCACTCTTACGTTACAATGCGTCTCTGGAAACCGCGTTGTCGTAATTCGCTCCGTAGACTCATTTTAGACCGAGTTGTGATTAAAGCGGGCTCTCAAGTGCAGCGAGAGTTCGATGGTCTCTGCCCAGCCACCAATCGCCGCACAAAGAACCCCACCCCACCGGTGTTACACCGCCACTCATGTCTCACTTGCCCACTTGGGCACCCACCCTGTGTCCCCCCGTGCCCTCCGTGGCCCACGGGTAAGATTTCAAAAAGTGTGTTGGTTTGGTCATGTTTGTTTGTTGTAGTACATAGTTAGACTGATGGCCTTAATCGAAGTTGTCTTGTGGTTGTTGTTGGTTGTTTGACTTGCATCCCACTGGGATTTTTGCACACAGCGTTGGTGTACGGTGTTTTTTTCTGCAATATTTTGCCGTCTTTTCTTGTATTTTCTGTTTGCACTCAGTCACATATTCACTTGAAGCAGTTTTTTTGTTCATGTTTTTGTTTTTTGTTTGTTGCGGTTGCACCCGATTCAAGAGCCGAATGGCTCACAGGGCTATACCTAATACATGAACTTGAACCCGTCCCTCCCGTGGGCCGTGCCCCCGTGACCCCGCGACCCCGCGACCAACCCCCCCCCGGCCCCGTGGCCCCCGTCACCTGTAGTGGAAGAAGATCTCGGCGTTGTGCTGGATGTTCTCGATGAAGCCGAAGTTGTCCTTGAGCGTGGCGATGAAGCCCACCTGCCGCTTGCCACCGCCACCGCCGCCGCCGCCACCGGAGATGGTGACACCTGCGCCGCCGCTGCTGCTGTTGCCCAAGCCGCCACTGGTGAGGCGGCTCAGCACCCGGACACAGGCGGCGCTGCGTTGCCCGCTCCTCTTCACCTCCGCGATGCTGAACTCCACCTGGTGGAAGCGAGAGAGGCGGGAGGGGGGGGCAGGCAAGGGACGCGCAAAGCTTTCGTATCATTACATCGTCGTCGTAGTCATCGTCGTCATGATCGGTCAAAGTCAAGTTCAAGTTCATTTATTAGGTATAGCCCCTGTGAGCCATTCGGCTCTTGAATCGGGTGCAACCGCAACAAACAAAAACATGAACAAGAAACATTATAAAGTGAATATGTGACCGAGTGCAAACAGAAAATCCAAGAAAAGACAGTAAAATATTGCAGAAAAAGCACCGTACACAAAAATGTGCAAAAATCCCAGTGGGATGCAAGTCAAGCAACAACAACAACCACAAGGCAACTTAGATTAAGGCCATCAGCCTAACTATGTACTACAACAAACATGGGCAAACCAGCCATAGCTGGCTGCATGAGTCACTCCACAACAGCAGGAGCATCAGTCGATTTCCTGCCAGGTGAAGCGATGCCACCGTAGGAGCCCACGGTGGCTCGGAGATGTTAACTACCACGCCTGGTACACAGGAGGTCGTGGGTTCCCGACCCTGACGCCTGCTGCTGCTGTATTTTTAAATCCTTTATATTAAGTTCACTTGCTTGCGCGCTTACGACCGTGCAAATCTTTCGGTCGTTTTTTAACCCACTTCCCGTGATCCAATCGAGCTGACATTTTGCACATAGACTCGTTGTGCGTGACAATTTATTTTCGTGAAATTTTTTTCCAAAATTTTACACTTTTTAGGAAAAAATAAATTATATTTAATTACCAATTGCTTAATGGTGGCAGGCAATCATCTGACCCATAGGTGGCAGCCATCTCAAGCCAGAGGACGAGAGGACTCTAGCCGCCACGCATATAAAGGATTTCTAGTGAAAAACTTTGTTTTTACGGGTTAATTTTTTTGAGTTTGTATATTCTCCCCGTGGGTCGCGTGGATTTGTCTCCGGGTCCTGCGGTTTTTCCCCCCACGTTTAGAATCAACGTGCCTTTAGATTATTTGGCCGTTATAAATTTCGACGTCGTGATAACCCACTTCGTTGAGCTATCATTTGTGGCCAGGTCGCTTCTGAAGAACTATATAGCTCAGTGGGCCTCACCTCATAAGATAAAGTCACGTAGAAGGGAAGTAATAAAATAATAAAAATAAAACATAATAAAATAATTCTCACGACGTTTCGGCCACAACGCAAGCAGCCGTCCTCAGGTGAAGACATTTTCTTCACCTGAGGACGGCTGCTTGCGTTGAGAATTATTTTATTATGTTTTATTTTTATTATTTTATTACCTCCCTTCTACGTGACTTTACCGAAAGAATCAAGAAGATGAGGCCGTACCTTGTCGCCGACTTTGGGCGCTCCGCGTCCCTCCACGTCCTTGCACAGGTACGAGATGGTCATCTTCTCACCCTCCTCCTCCTCCTCGTAAGCGATGATCCCCGGCTCCTGGTCCTGCGCAGTTGGGAAGAGGCCTCGCAAGAGTCAGGTCAAATCTAGGCCCACCCCTCCTCCTCGCCACTGCTGTTACGACGGACGACGTCACGGCCGTTCTGCCGTGCGGCTTGCTCTCTCGCTCTCTCTCTCTCGCTCTCTCCCTTCCTGTCACTCTCCCTTTCTCTCGCTCTCTCTTTCTGTCTGCTCCGATGCGAGTTCGGGTCGTAACCGCGGCGCTGTCAGGCGCGATGTCCTCCCAAGTTCTGGTCTCCATGTGCCGGAACCTTCTTTGGGAAACCCAAATCCCGAATTCTACCTCGTGCAATTTCACAAACTGGGCCCCCCCTTCTCAACAAAAACCACGTAGCTGCATTAAAAAACAAAAGTGTTTCTGTTTCGGTAATATGAATAACTTTGTATTTCTGGTATTTAGAGAGAGGAGCTAATGCGTTTTGTCACGCGGGGTGGGTTGGGGTCCGTTTGGGGGGTCCGTGGGAATATTTGCATCGGTCGAGAGGTGCCGGGCGGCAGGCCAAAAAAGAGTTTGGACAAACACCGCCCCGGCGGGGAGACCTTTCCAATCGGGGGCGACGAGAATAAACAAACCGCCGGGCCCATACCCTCTATCGATTTACCTCTACTTGAAAATGTTCCCAGCTTCATGTCGTTTAGCCCGGCGGTTCACAGCCGTTGTTCTGCTAACACTACCCAGTGAAGGGGGGGGGGGGGGGGGGGGGGGTTTTCCGAAGAGATTCGGTTCGGTGTGGCTGGCAATTGCCTGCGGAGTGACAACTCATGGAGACCACAGGCCACCGCAGTTCCAGCACGGCCGATTGGTCACCGCGTGGAATTATTGACCATGTTTAAAAAAAATAAAAATATATACAAGATGGACTTTGGAAAGTTTGGCTGTTCAGCAAGAAAAGACCGTGAAACAGGATTTTTAACAATTAAAACGTAAATAATAATAACACAGTGAAGTTATGAGAAGGTGCGGTGGATAAACACACACACACATAAGCGTGCACACACACACACGCGCGCGTGTGTTATTTCATGCGAGCACGCTTAACACAGCGCACCAGCATAAACACAAGCGCAGGGAAGGCAGTCGCTAATTGGGGCAAAGCACTGGTCAATTCCAAGCAGTCAAAATGTCTTGTTACAGGGCATTCATTTTGTCAAAGCATCGCCCCCCCCCCCACCTCTCTCTCTCCAACGGGTATAGAGGTGGGTCAATGGAGCATGGTCCCATCCTGAAAAAATGGTCAGGAGACTGCATGGATTCATATTCTTGGTTCTTTCGGTAAAGTCACGTAGAAGGGAAATAATAAAATAATAAAAATATAAAACTATAAAAATTCTCACGACGTTTCGACCGCAACACAAGCAATCATCATCGGGTGTGAAATCCACGGCAAGAACATTTTCTTGCCGTGGATTTCCCACATGATGTTTTATATTTTTATCATTTTATTATTTCCCTTCTACGTGACTTTACCGAAAGAAAACTTAATTTGGAGCTTTCGTGACATTTCGAAATTTTGCTAGGTTATTTAATTCAGTGCCTCTCTCTCCCCGTCTCCTCTTTTTTCAAGCTTTTGCACGTGCCACTCATTGACATGCTAATTTCTCTAACCCCTCCCTCTCTCTCCGCCCCCGCGGGGGTCCCGTGTTCGACATCCGTCATCTCGTCAGTAGTGTCAGGAACCAGCGCTAGCGAGCTGCCAGATGCTATCCTTGGCAAGGGCCCGCTCGCTTTTAACACATGGGTCTGATGCATAACCGAAAAATTACACTGGTCAACAAAAATTTTTTTTTCTGGCCTGGACTTTTGCAGCTGTTTTAGACTAATTTCAGGGTGCTGATTCCAAATCTGATCTCAGATTTGCTCCATCACATAATTTTTATGCTATCGGCATACCCCAATTTCATTGATTTTACCCGAAATTAACTCTGTCACTTATGATTGCAAGTTATTGCGAGTCAGTGACTTGCTTTAGTGTTAAAATATCGTGCTGTATTTTTAGGATAGTGTGTTTATAATATCATTGTATGTAGATATCCACATTCATTTAATATTTTTCTTCTGCAGTTTTTATTGAAAATGCAATATTTGATATCTCAAAAACCTGATGTGATAGACAAAAACTTATGCCAGATTTGGAATCAGCACCCCAAAATTACCTTAAAACCGTTGGAATACCTTATGCCAGAAAAAGTGTGTTGACCAGTGTAATCATCGTTAGCGTGCTTAGGCGAGCTCTGCGTGCGTGGCGCGGCGTTCAGAGTGAAACGCAAGTCAAGGATGGAACACCGCAGTGGGGATGGGGTTAGCGGGGGGCGGTGGGGGGGTGGGTGGGGACCATGCAAGTGCAGCCCAACACGGACGTACCCGCTCCCTCTTCTGCGGCGAAACAAGCGCGCGAGTGCGCATGCGTGCGCGGCGTGGGAGGGGAGAAGAAGAAAAATAAAAAGTCACTGCACTGACGCAGGCAGCGGTGGTAGATGAAAACACAGAGGAAGAGGAGGATGATAGTAACCGACGATAACAAGTGGGGACAAGTGGAAGGACAACGAGCGAAACCGCGGTGAACGAACGCGCGCGGAAAGGAACGACCCAAGCGGTTGCGATGATGCAGAACTGCCGGTGATTGGAAGGGTTTGGGGTCGTGGTTTTGATGGCGCTGGCGACGGTTTGCGACGACAGCACGGACGGTGACGATGGTAGCGGTTGACAGCACCTGCGGTGGCGGCGGCGGTGAACTACCGCCACGATGAACTACCGCCACGGTGAACTACCGCCACGGTGAACTACCGCCACGGTTAACTACCACCACGATGAACTACCGCCACGGTTAACTACCGCCACGGTTAACTACCGCCACGGTGAACTACCGCCACGGTGAACTACCGCCACGGTTAACTACCGCCACGGTGAACTACCGCCACGGTGAACTACCGCCACGGTGAACTACCGCCACGGTGAACTACCGTCATGGTGAAAGCAGTGGCAGCGGTGGCAACGAACAACAGTGGCTGTCGGTGGTACCGGTCGTGATGAGCAATAAAGACTACGAAGTTGGATGGTGGTGGGGGGGTATCTCACCTTCTCCTTGGCCTTGGAGGGGCTGGGGGCGGCTCCGATGGCCTCGCGCTCCACGACCCCCACGTAGCGCTCGTCCAGGCGGGTGCTGAACGACACCGAGCCCTTGGGCAGGCGCCGGATCCGCACCGCGTGGTTCCGTTGCGGCAGCATCGCGTCCTGAGCGGCGGCGGGGACAAAGGGGGCGAAGGGGTCAATATAGCGGGGGTTGAAACGCACGGAGGGAGGTCAAACGTGCTGGGGAGGGGAGGGGAGTCAAACGCGGGGGGAGTTAAACGCGCGGTCCCGACAATTGCGCCACACGCTCACAGGGGCCAAGGAACGATCGACCGCTCAACGCGTGGCAATTCCAAGGGCAGGGTTTTGTTCAGTTCGGCAACGTCGTATATGTGTCACCGCAGCCATGAGAAGCGCTGCTCATTGCTGACCGCCCCCCCCCCCCCCCCCGCCCACTTACTGGACATCACAAGCTCGCCCTCCCCGCCCCCTCACCTCATTTACCTTCCCTCTACTTTGGCTTCCTATTCTTTTACACCATTGGAACCTCTCATTTGCCAGTAAAAAATATGATAATTGGTTTTTTACCCTTCTATCTGGCAACAAAACTGACATCTTTTTTTACAAGGAGTCATGTTTACATAGACCACAATACCTGCAGTCATAATGCAAACAAAAAACATAACTCTGATAATGTATGCACTGTCCTTGAAGTTGATTGGTCCACACCCGAGACAGCTTTCCTTAGAGCCTAGTCTCACATGGTGTTGGACCAGATGACGCCAAAAGGCGCACAACTCAAAGACAATGCACCATCAGAGTATGAGAGCTCGGGGTAAGCATTTACACCATTGAGTTGTGCGCCTTTTGGCGTCATCTGGTCCAACACCATGTGAGACTAGGCTCTAAGGAAAGCTGTCTCGGGTGTGGACCAATCAACTTCAAGGACAGTGCATACATTATCAGAGTTATGTTTTTTTTTGCATTATGACTGCAGGTATTGTGGTCTATGTAAACATGACTCCTTGTAAAAAAGGTGTCAGTTTTGTTGCCAGATAGAAGGGTAAAAAACCAATTATCTTCCTATTCTTGTCGTGTTTTATTTTAGTATTCACAAGAGGCACGTTGGATTAGGTGGTGTAAATACAAACGTGTCGTTCAACCGGCCACCTCCACACGACGTCACGGCCAATTAGTCAGGTTTGCCACGTAAACAGAACGTGACAATTCGTTACAGGTTCAGCACACCGCTTGTGTGTTGGGAGAGTAAGCCCACACAAAATGTACAATTCGAGTACGACGTTTCGCCAGTAACTGCAACCAGCATCATCGTGCCAGATTACTAAGTCGGTCTAACGACACATTTCCGCCACCCAACCCAAAAGAAAACTTCTATATTGGATAATATTGGTTGTGAGAGCCTCCTCCGAAGCGTTTGTTGGACTGTTTGTTGCTGCAACTTTCTGACCCTGTGCCCCCCCCACCGGCTGGACATCGTGCTCTCTATAAGCCCCGCCCCCCCCCCCTCCCGATACGTTCCATTCATTGGCTACCACATTCTGATAAGCTCCCCCCCCCTCTCCTCCCCCTTAACTTGTATTTAAGAACTTGCATCTTGAATCCCTGCCTCACTTGATGCAGAAAATCTGGCTGTGACGGTCCCACCTGATGACGGAGACTTGTGTTGCCTCCGAGACGTCGCGATTTTGTATTATTTTTATTAATTTAAATTTCATTTTTTACCGAAAAAACTATGAATCCTTGCAGTCACGAAAGCTTCAAATCTAGAATTGTGAAAGAGAGCTTTGTTACGGCTCATCGGGTTCCTCCTCCAGAAGTAAATATTCTGATTCGGATAAAGATTCTTACTCCACTGACCAATCTAAGAATTTGATGTTTCCATCGGACAATTCGACCAACTGCAAGGGAGCGAATCGTTGATTTTTAACTCAAACGATTCCACGCGTTTACGAATCTGAACAAGTCCGGTATTCGAGAGCAAATCCAAGCAAACGCTGCCCCCCCCCCGCCCCTTCTCGCTCACCAACTCACTCCTCAGTCCGCTAGCTCACCCGCCAACCAGCTCATCCATCCGCTCGCTCTTTAACCAACTCACTCAACTCCCCGCTCACTCACCCACTCGCTCGTTTGCCAGCCAGCCAGCTCACTTACCAACACACACACACTCACACAATCGCCTTCCTTCCTGCCTGCCTGCCTACTTACCGACTTTGCTCATCCGCCCGCCCGCCCGCTCACCCGCCCGCCCGCCCGCTCGCTCCGCACACACTTGTCAGCCCACTCACCTGCCCGCCCGCCCGCTCGCCCGTGCGTACCGGGATGACGGTGAACTCGACTTCGTCGGAGATGCGCAGGGCTTGCGGGTCGTCCATCACCTCGCTGTAGTGGAAGAACATGCGCTGCTCCCGCTCCACGCACTTGATGAAGCCAAAGCCGTCGCGGAGGGCCGCCACCACGCCCTGCGGCGCGATCCACCGAGGACGACGACACCGACGACGACACCGACAACGAGAAAACGACGTTCGGTCTTACCGTCCCCGCGCCGTGAGCGAGCGAGCGTCGAGCAAGGCCACCGTGCGCGCAGATTTTGCGGTCGTGCAGCCAACACCACGCGCGCACAAAGAAAAAGATCCCCCGTATAGCCTTTACCAAACCGTTGGGCCAAGTGCCGGCAGCGAGCACCTACGAAGGCTGCAACGGATACACAGGAAGTGGGGTGGCGGGTGGCCACCAACACAACGCCCTCCGTCTCCCCCAGTGCCGATTATTTGCGTACACCGCACCAAGCACAGGGACTCATCGACTTACGAACTTCCAGAGATACGAACAAGCCTGTCCTGTATGTCCGTCGCCCGTTCGGACCGAGAGTCGTAAATTCGACCACCGTGCAATAGAGATGGCGGTAGATGCCACTGGCTCTTCATGTGAAGAACCAGATGTAGATGCCACTGGTTCTTCATGTTCTGCAGATGTCGATGGCATCTACATCTGCAGAACGTGAAGAACCAGTGGCATCTACATCTGCAGAACGTGAAGAACCAGCGGCATCTACATCTGCAGAACGTGAAGAACCAGTGGCATCTACATCTGCAGAACGTGAAAAACCAGTGGCATCTACAACTGCAGAACGTGAAGAACCAGTGGCATCTACATCTGCAGAACGTGAAGAACCAGTGGCATCTACATCTGCAGAACGTGAAGAACCAGTGGCATCTACAACTGCAGAACGTGAAGAACCAGTGGCATCTACAACTGCAGAACGTGAAGAACCAGTGGCATCTACATCTGCAGAACGTGAAGAACCAGTGGCATCTACATCTGCAGAACGTGAAGAACCAGCGGCATCTACATCTGCAGAACGTGAAGAACCAGTGGCATCTACATCTACAGAAGATTATAACGCCTTTAAAGTCTTCCCGCGTGTTGAGTGTACACGCTGTACAACACCTTTGGAATCAACATGAGTAAAGTTTGGACTTACGATCAAATCGACTCACAAACAGACCTCTGTAACCTAACTCGTTCGTAAGTTTAGGAGTTCCCGTACTTTTTTTTTTCAAAGGCCAAGTCGACCAAAGGGAAAGGCCTCGGACCGGTTCAAACCCTCCCCACTCTTCGGTCTTGAGCGGCAAAATCAAACCTCCGTGGGGGACGGGGGGGGGGGGGGACGGGTGGATTCGCCGCACGCAAAAAAAACGCTCACCACTTCTCTCTTTTCGTCGGAGGCGGTGAAGGTCTCTGACATCAAGGTGATGGTGGTGGCACGCTCCAGCCCGTCGCGCCGGTCCGTCGAGATGCTGAACTCCACCTGGTCCCCCGGCAGCAGCGTCACCTTGGTGCGCGTGTCCTTCTCGCCGTACGGGAGGTCCCGCGCCGTCGGGAACTCCATGTGGATCCGGCCCGGCAGCGGGTCAGACTGCGTGCGGCACATCGTGGTGGGGGCGAGATGTTGACTACCTCGCCTGGCGCGCAGGAGGTCCGTGGGTTTCGATCGCGACCCTGACGCCTGTTGTATATTTGGGAGTTTGCGTGCGTCTCCCTTGCTCTGTAGATTTATATAGCAGCGCTTTAATCCAAGGAGTTTACAACAATTATAAATTTGTACATAAGATGATAATGGTTGAGATAAAGAGTGGGGTAGTTATTAAAAGGGGTGGTCTAGTTAAGAGTTTATTGTCCTTCACACGCAACATCTTATTAGCATGGTTGCCTACGTCCGGTGCGAAAGAAGTTCAACATACACGCATACATAGACTCAGAGAGACCCATAGACTCACACAAAGACCCACAAACTCACACAGAGACCAATAGATTCACACAGAGACCCACATACTCGCACAGAGACCCATAGACTCACACAGAGACCCATAGACTCACAAGCAGACCCACAGACTCACACGCATATCCACAGACTCACACAGAAACCCATAGACTCACAGAAACACTCACACAGAGACCCATAGACTCACACAGAGACCCATAGACTCACAAGCAGACCCACAGACTCACACGCAGACCCACAGACTCGCACAGAGACCCATAGACTCGCACAGAGACCCACAGACTCACACAGAGACCCAAAGACTCACACACAGACCCATAGTTTGTTGCCATTCCCCCACAACCTCCGCTTAGTGCGGTTGGCTACGTACGGTGCGAAATAAGTTCACACGCACGCAACACACAAAGGCAAACAAGCGAGCCAACAGCAGCACGATCCCTTGCGGGAGAACGCACCAGGTTCTTGCTGGGCGCCTTGGGCAGCACGCACAGCACCTCGCCCTTGAAGCGCTCGATGCTGATGTCCTCGAAGATCACCGTGCCCTCCGGCAGCAGTCGGATGTCCGTCGCCACCTCCTTGTTCTGCCGGGATAAAAGACAAAGGCGGTGACTCCGCGCCGTTTCAAGCGGTACACGTGTGACCACCTCGACGGTGGTGCCGGCCCGGTTTTTGCGAGCGCCGGGGGTTCGGTATCGTCCCGGCTGTGGCCACAGGGGGCTGCCTGTCGCAGTGGTTGGTTTGGATGAAGGGGCCGTGGGGGAGGGTGATGAAGTGGGACATTGCCACGAGACATTCCAAGTTGCTGGAAGGGGAAGGCAGCTTCCGTCCGGTAGTTGATTGAAAACGGTTGTGATGGGCATTACGGTTTACACGGCTGAACTATCGTGCTCACCTTGCCACTCACTCTTTCAATCATCCACACGCTCACTCACATTCACACTCACCCACTCACTCACTCAACCACTCTCCAACAACTACTCAAGCTAAAGAACCCACTTATTCACCTACTCACTCAGTCTCCAAACCACTTAACCCACCTCTCCCCCTCCGATTCACCCACTCAGCCACTCATCCACCCTGTCTCTCCCACCCTTTCTCCCACTCACCCACTCTTCCACTCAATGTATGTAGAACTTCTTTCACACCGTACATAGCCAATTGTGCTAATCGGAGGTGCGGGGGGAAGGACAACAAAATCACCCACCCCCTCTTCCCCCACTCACTCACCCACCCCCCCTCCTCCTATCTCTCAAACATTCGCTTTCACACCCACCCACTCAACCACGCACCCTCTGAATCGCTCACTCATTCATCTACCGTCTCCTACCCACACTCACTCATCGTGACTCTCCCGCCCAACCGCCCGCCACACCCGCCCCACGAGCCACTCACGTTGCGATCCTGGATGCTGAACTCCACGTCGTCCCCAGGCTGCAGGGTCTCCAGGTTGCCCTTGTACTCGCTGTAGTGGAAGAAGATCTCCTTCACCTGGTCCCCGCGCTCGATGAATCCAAACGTCTCCTGAGCGACGCGGAGAAGCCGGCAAGGGCCCGTGCGTGAGAGGTCCAGCGACGAGCATCTCGCGCGCACTGACGACCCCACGACCCCCCGCCCAACCCCCGCCCCCCCCTAACCCCCGCCCCCCAAACCGCCGCCCCAACCCCCACCAATTTCCACCGGCACATGCGAGCCAAGCCAGCGCGGCGGCTTTTTCCACTGGTTCTATGCGGAGTCGAGCCAGAACCAAACCGTGACAAGCTGCTGCTGTCATCCAAACGTCTAAATCTGGCTCAGGGCCAAGCAGGGCCAGGGGGCGGGGCTAACGAGAAGTGACGTCAGTCAGTAGCACGCTCCGGAGGGCCGCATCTGTTATTTCATTGCGTAAAATTGCAAAAAGTATTAACTTTGGCATAAAATTACCAAGTGGCCAAACCCCCAAAAATGCAATCATTGTGTTCGTAAAAAAAATAAAAGGAGCTGCACTTTCACCCAGCGACACAGATCCCTCTCGTCGTGGCGGCAGCAGCAGCAGCAGCAGGACCAGCACTGGCATTGACCTCCTGAACCACAAGACAGCGCTGCTGCTTGCTGCCATCATCACGCGCAAGAACAAATCAGCACCACCTGCTGGTCTTGCCCCCTTCACGCACCCCCCCTCTCCCCACACCACCGTGGTGGATGTCGCTCAGCCACTGCCGCCCCCGCGAGACGGAAACGGCGGCAGTGGCGGCGGCGCCGTGCGGGTGTCGCCAGCGTTGCCGCGGCAAGACGTACCTTCATGGCGCACACGACGCCCTGGAAGCGGTCGGGGCGCTTGCGCTCCATGAGCTTCACGCCGCTGGCGCTCATGAACCCGCTGCTCCCCACGCTCCAGGGATGAACGCGACCGTTAGGAAGGCGCACGCCATTGTGGTTCGAGGTGGTGGTGGTGGTGACGACGAGGTGTGGGTGGGGAAGAGACCGGGGGGGGGTGGTGGGGGAAAACGTGGGTAGCAAACGGGGAAGAACGCACGGAGCTCAGATTAGTTGCCTGGTTACGGTCACCCAAGTTCGCAAGCGACGGTGATTGCTTTGTTAATGGAATCGACGGCTGGTTAACATCTCCCCTAGGTCGACTCGGCCTCGAATGAGTACCTGTGTGGGGTGTGTAAACATCGCCACTGGGGAGACAAAGGCGGCCGGGTGTGGTGCTGGCCACCCACCCCCTCGTGCGCCGTGCCGGCCTTCATAGGTGTTCACGAACAGCACTTGCCCCTTTGTCTTTGTGTCTATGTTGGGTGCCCATTGCTTACTGTGTGCGTGCCGGTGTGCGTATGTCGGTTTTGTCATTGCCTGTGTGTTTGTCGGTGTGCGTGTGTGCGCGTCGGTGTGTGTGCGTGTCGGTGTGTGTGCGTGTCGGTGCGTGTCGTTGTGTGTGTGTGCGCAGGTGTGTGTCGGTGTGTGTGCATGTCGGTGTTTGTCGATGTGTGTGTGTCGGTGTGTGTGTGCGTGTCGGTGTTTATCCGTGTCTGTGTGTGTGTGCGTGTCGGTGTTTGTCGATGTGTGTGTGTGTGTCGGTGTGTGTGTGTGTGTGTGCGCGTGTCGGTGCGTGTCGTTGTGTGTGTGTGTGTGTGTGCGCAGGTGTGTGTCGGTGTGTGTGTGTGCGTGTCGGTGTGTGTGTGTGCAGGTGTTTATCGGTGTGTGTGCGCGTGTCAGTGTTTGTCGGTGTGTGTGTGTCAGTGTTTGTCGATATGTGTGTGTGTGCGTGTCGGGTGCCCGGTGCTTACGGCTTGTTCGTGGCCACGGTGAAGGAGACCTTATCTCCCACTTCCATATCGATGGCGTCCTCCACGTCGTCGCACGAGAAGTTCAGGTAGAACACCTCCTGCCCTCGCGACGAGGTGGCAGGGCGGGAGGGGAGGGGGGAGGGGCGGAATGGGAGGGGGGGGGAACCGCGACGTTTTGAAGCGACGAGCGAGTTTCCACGCAGCCGGCAGCCTCGGCAAACACTTCCCACCGCCACCGCCCAACACATCCCCCTCCAGCCCGCACAAGTTCACGCGATACTTTTATCAAATGTATATTACGTGTATGTAAACAAAGTAAGAAAAATCGTGGATTTCGCAACTCTTTCCAACAGGCGTTTGTCCGCGCAAAGTATTTAATTGGCGGTCGTAACGTTACGCTTCGAGGCGCGCGGACTGGGCGACGTCGCACGGGAAATTGTCGCCTTGGCCGAGCAAGACGAGAACTTTTAGCGCCGCTTTTCTCTGTCGTTGTCGTCGTAATTGGCAAAGTTTTGGGGCAAGTAACCCTGCGATTATTTCCTTTCCGGGTCTCTCGGCAAGCGACACAAATTGACATTCAAATTCTGCCGACGTTGGATCGACTTTACAAGAGTTATCGTGACCACCACCAACCCCTCCTCTCTGCTTACAAATCGACAAGACGGGACACGGCTAACGCGTTGAACAGCTTTCAACCGTTAGCTTCTTCGCCTTGAAGAACGATTATTTGTCGGGGGATAAAATGCCCACGGATTGGCTGGGGGGGGGGGGGGGGGGTTGGAACGTGCCTTGTCCACCAACAGTAACTAAGGCCGCACGGTGGACCTGTGGTTACAACGCTCGACTCGCCGCGAGGTCGCGAGTTCAATTGCCGGTTGGGCGTCCACAGGACTCCTCGATTCCACCCCCGCCATTGTTTGGGTTCGATAAAACGACTACCCACTCCCTGCGGGGAAATAAATGCGCCAATCCCCCCCTTTCAAAGCGAACGTGGAATTGCCGGTAACTGGCTCGCGGGCGGGGGATGAGCGAACGGTAGAGCGCGAACCCAGGAGCGGCCGGCGAGGTGCCAACGTTGTTGCGAATTTGAGCGGCGGCACATTGAAGAAGCCGTTCAGGTGGACGCGCGGTGAACTTAAAAGGCCGTTAAATTATCCGAGGGTGGTAAAAAGGGCAGCTGGGCTTGGTTCGTGACGTTTTAGCCGATGCCGTGCGACCAAACAAGACGCGGCGGCCCTCATCGTCGACGACGCTCACGCTTTGCTCGTGCGCCGATGACATCAACGCCGGCGCTTTTCGTGACATCGCAGCAACGACGAGTGGCGGCAACAACAACGCCGCCCCGCGTCTCTCCTCGGCACAATCACAATTCGGCGAGGCGTCGCGGTGCCGAGATGTTAACTACCTCGCCGGGTATGCAGGAGGGCGTGGGTTCGCTCCCGACCCTGACGCCTGCTGCTGTATATCTGGAGTTTGCGTGTCTCTCTCTCTCTCCCAGTGGTCGCGTAGACTTTTCTCCGGGTCCTCCGGTTTTTCCCTCCACATTTAGAAACAACGTGCATTTAGAGTATTTGGCTGATATACATTTCCACATGATAAGCCACTTTGTTGAGCTAACATTTGCTATAGAGCTAGAGCTCCAGTGGGCCTTACCTAGAAAAATAAAAATAGTTTAAAGTTTTAGTTTGAGGTGGGCGAGCGATGAACGCGAGTGCTAGCAGCACTCCTTCCTGCAGCACCTTCAGGATGTTCAGCGAGATGACAAAAACGGAATACCCAATTCCATGCTCAATGTTAACTCTATTTTCCATATTATAAGATGCGGGCAATTCACTTGGCTGAGCGCCTTACGAGTGGGTAGGTGCACATGTCATGTACGTAGAACTTGGGTTTCGCACCGCACGCTGTCAACCGCGCTAGGTGGTTGGTGTGCGACTTGTCCAATGTTAATGACGCCGGGAATACGTCTGGGGGGGGAGGGTTTGAGCCTTACAATCGTGAGAACACTGCAACCGAACCGGCGAGCGTGCAACTATTATTATACCTCGCAAGCGCGCGCTCAATACGGGGACAATACGGTAGAGGCGTACGTTCACGAAAGCGTTCCTCTACGGGCGAAACTTTTAACGTCGACCGAGCGCTCGCGTTTTGGTTTTCCTCTCCGTCGACCGCGCGATGTTCCGTCGTCGCTATACTCATCACCGTCGTCATCGTAATAGTCGTCGTCACGGTTACCGTCGTCATGGTTACCATCGAAATCATCGCGCCGGTATCCTCACCCCGTTGCGCTCATAGCAAACGCTGCCCTTGTGCAGCGCGCCGACACCGCACCCTTCCTTGCCCCCGACGGACGGGATGGCTGCCACCACCTAATGCCGCCACCGCCGTCGTCGCCACCGCAACCACCGCCACACGGCCACAAACAACACAAAACACCAGAGTCACACAGGCGGTACACCCAGCCGGTAAGCTAGCCAACCCACCGCCGCGCACGCGCACACGCAGGTTGGCGTCGCTGCCGGCCGGCCGGCCGACCGACGGGCGGGGGGGACTGATCGAGCTCGCAATTGCGTTTCGACCAACGCTTCTGCGATTGGAGTCGAGAAGCGCAAAAAAAAAAACACGGAGGCAAGACGCAACCCAAAAAGGTAAAATTAGGCTCTCGATCGGCGAAAGTTGACGGGCGTCACGAAATCAAAGCGCCGCCACCCCCCCCCCCCCCATCCTACACGGAAAGGCCCCCTGGGTATTCGGGATTCCGTTGGAAACAATCGTGGGGGGAAAACCCAGCCCCCCACTTTCGATTCCCCAAGTCTCATTAAAGCAAGGGGCGATGGGACGAAACAATAACACTTTTCCATTTCACAGCGGTAACAAACGATCCGTACGTTTCGTTATTTATGACCCTGCTGTAGATACGCACCCAGGGCTGTGTGTGTCCCAAATTTGTCCAAGAGTCAGTCAAGATTTTGAAGGAAACCAAACTCGGGTCGGGGAGCAACCCTACGCTTACGAACGCAGCGCCGCGACGGCGATGTCAACGGCGGCGGCGCATCTGACCGCGATGTCGATGAGAGTTTATTCAGCGCTCTCCAAACCCGCAGTTGACCAAGCATTTATGCGTTTACCTCTGTCTGTCCGTCACACGATGGGGTGGGTGGGTGGGGGGGATGGGGAAGAGGTCACGATAAATCTCGTAGAAGCGATACCAATAACGGAACCAAACTTTGCCGCCAAAGTTGCGTTGCCGTTATTTTACGAATGTAGGAAAAAACGGCCAAATTCATCACGTCAAATGGTCGCCCCCCCACCCCCACCCACAAAAAAAAACGCAAATACACAAACCAGTTGAACGAGCAGCGGGCACGTTTGCAAGCGTGCAAAGGGTGTCCCGGAACTCGAAGCTAACCCCCGTCCGTCGGCTTTTTCGGACCGCCTACAAATACGAAGACCAAACGCGCGTTGGAAAGGGGCTACGTAAATCCACACGCGTGCATTGTTTCTCTTACTCGTTTCTAACGCGGTTCCAGCACAACAAAAAAATCACGCGCGTGCCGGTCGGAGAGACACACAAACAGCCCCGGGCGTGCATCTATCACACGAGAGCGGTCCCGCTTCTTAGGTTGCGTCTTCTCGTACCGAAAGTGTCGTAGAATGAAAAACAATAATAGTTTTTTTTTACCATTTTTCTGGCAATAAAACAGGAGGTGTTAAAATGTCCAAACGCCAAGGAATCAAAGTCTGTTACTCGTACACCCACTGATGATTGGCCCACACCAGAGGCAGCCTTCTTTAGGGCCTCGTCTCATCGGCAAAAGGGCGAACGGCACGAAGACGATGCACGTATCAGAGCATTGAGAGCTCAGGGTGAGCAGAGAGAGAATTGGACCTTTTTGCCAGTATCTAAGTATGAACTATAAGAACAGGTTTTAACCCCTTCTTGGTTCTTTCGGTAAAGTCACGTAGAATAGAAATAATAAAATTAAAACATAATGAATTAATTCTCACGTTTCGGCCACAACGCAAGCAGCCGTCCTCAGGTGGAGAACAGGTCTGTTGAGAAGACAGAGTCTGAATACCATTCAGACTCTGTCTTCTCGACAGACCTCGACAGACCTGTTCTCCACCTGAGGACGAATGCTTGCGTTGTGGCCGAAACGTTGTGAGAATAATTTTATAATGTTTTATTTTTATTATTTTATTATTTCCATTCTACGTGACTTTATCGAAAGAACCAAGAAGATGAATCCCTGCAGTCACGAAAGCTTTAAATCGAGGTTTTTACCCATTTCTGGCAATAAAAAAAGGCGGTGTTAAGATGTTCAAACACCAAATTGATTAGATCTTTTTGCAAGGAATCAAGTACTGCATTAACCACACACATACTTCCTGTTGGTGAACGTGCAAGCAAAACATGATGCGATAATACGTGCAATGTCTTTGGAATTGTTTGGCCTACACCAAAAATTATTTTACGTTGCGTGCTTGCGTGGGAGGAAATCCGAGTAATCCGACAGGAAAACCCCGGCTGCCATACGCCGAAAAAAGCCTCCGCACGGACGGGTTCGCAAATCTCTACGCGATCCACCAACCATTGGCGCCAATGCTCCGCATGATCGCATGACAACAGCCAGAGCGGCGACAGCCAAACGGCGGTGGATGGCGGCCAGGAGAAAGTGGTACAAGCGAATCATACTCTTTGGTTTTTTCGGTAAAGTCACGTAGGTAAAAAATTTTAACAAATTAACTCACGACGTTTTGAAAGCAACACAAGCCTCCGTCATTAGGTGTAACTGCTCCAGTAAAATTTGCAGTTACACCTGATGACGGAGGCTTGTGTTGCTTCCGAAAACGTAACGAGTTAATTTATTTACATTTTTTACCGACGTGACTTTACCGAAAAAACCAAAGAGGATGAATCCTTGCAGTCACGAAAACTTCTAATCTAGAATTCGTACAAGCGAAGTTATGGAGTAGCAAATCATCTCTCCCGTCTGCACGGGAGAGCATTGCACCATCGCACGAGCGTAGGTTTTCTCTGGGGGGAGGCATTTCGGTTTCCTCCCGCGTGCATAAAAGGCCTCATCAATTGTATGAATGCATCTTAATAACGGGGAGCTTGGGGAACATGTGAGGCTTTCCCAGGTGAACAAGCATTATAGATAACAAGTCGTACAAATAATAACGGCAGTGAGAGATAGAAAGACAAAGGAAGGAAAACAGAAGGTGGGGGGGGGGGGGGGGGGGATGAGGTTATGAAATTGGCAAAGACAAAAAGTAAAACGAAAAACGAACCAACAATGTGTGTGGGGTGGAGGGGTGTGTGGGGGGCATTTATGAACACATTTCATGAGCATGTTCATCATTTCACAAATGTATTACCTGCGGAATAAATAAATAAAACATTGCGGGAAGACAAAAACGAGCATCGGGACAATCACGGCACGGCGGGGAAAAAAATAAAACAGCGACGCCACGATCGTCGCCGCTCTAAACATCGAACGGCCGGTGGATCGTGTCAAGTTGGCGCGACCCTCCAGCCAACGTCGGCAGTGACCCACAGCCTCGATACCGGCTTACAAGAACCACTGATTCTACAGAAATAGCACCGTGTGCTAAAACACCGGAAAATCACATCATCGATGTAAAAAAAAAATATCGCCTATTTTAAAATAAAACATAATAAAATAAAATAATTTTATGCTTTATTTGTATTATTTTATTAGAAGGGAAATAATAAAATAATGAAAATAAAGCATAATAAAATAAATTAATTTTATTATGTTTTAGTTTCATTATTTAATTTTATTATGTTTAATTTTTATTATTTTATTATGTGACTTTACCGAAAGAACCAAGAAGATGAATCCCTATTTTATTACGTTTTATTTTTCTTATTTTATTATTTCCCTTCTACGTGACTTTACCGAAAGAACCAAGAAGGTTTTAAATTTGCTTACCACGTGAAGTTGGCATGAACATACAAAGACAAAAATAAATATATACTACTTTTAAAAGTTACCGTGTTTTACTGTACCGTACTTACCGCTCTAATCTCGAAGACTCTGCATGGGGTGATGTATATACGTGCAGTATTTCATTAAGTTGTTGTATGTAGTGTATAATGTAGTGTATATGATATTTAACACTGATAATCAAGCATAGCTACTTTTTTTGACACGCAAAGTGCCGATTGCCAGGCTTGGTTACAGCCTTCGGTTTCGCCGGATCGGCCCAGGACCACACGGTAATGTTGGAAGCAGCCGGATAATCGATAATTGACGTTCAACTGTATGTTGAACTTCTTTCGGACCGTACGTAGCACCAACAGTGCTAATCAGAGGCGAGGGGGGAGATTGTAGGTGCGGGATAATCTGGTCGGATCTATGAGAGAAGGATGGCTGTGATGACAGTGATGGTGATAGCAGTGATAGTGGTGGCAATGATGTCTGTAGTAGTGATGGGGCCTTACGAGCCCATCGTAAGTCAAAAATATCGTAAGTCGAAGATGGCCTAGCCTACCCAGGAGTCTTAAAGAATGGTGATAATTTATCAAAACAGAGCAATTTATAGTTCCGTGCTGTATAACCTATATACTGCATGTATTTATTAATTACAATACTGTATTGCGCAGTAAAATGTGAAGTAAAAAAAACAAGGTCAATTCTTAGCCGACCTATATGAACTGCAATTTAATAGAAAGTTTTTTTCAGGAAACAATCCTATCTGTATCACACAAGGCGGGAGATGCGTAACATCCCGGCAGCGTCCCAACGTGTACAGCATCGTACCTCGTACTCTGCTGCGTTTGCCTGCCGCGCGGAATTTAAAATATTTAACAATTTTGTCGTATCGCTATCGCCGTCGTAAGATCGAAATATCGTAAGACGGACCATCGTAACTCGGGGACTATCTGTGTATACACATGTAGTCATCAACTTATGAACGGGGTTGCGTTCCTGATTCCCATTCGCAAGTCGATTTTGTTTGTATCTCAGAACTCAATATTTAATTGTACGATCAGTGTCACGGATTGTGTTGCGGTTCAACAATGAAAGGGAAGCAGCATTGTTCAAACTCATAAATAAGGATATATTGTACGGGCAGCCCTCGGGTTACGCACACAATTCGTGGACCGGTTCCGTAAGTTGGAAACACAGCGATGCACTGCATTTATATGCCCATAAGGTCAGCGTTATGGAATGTGTTACAGTTCAACAAGAAAAGGGAAGCGTTGCTAAACTCATAAACAGGAAGATTGTTCATGAGTTTACAGCAAGTAAAATTAGGTAACGTGAAAAGAAGAAGAAAAAAAACAAATCCGTTTTACTTTCACTCATCTCGAGTCCCGACGCTGGCTGGCTTTGCTTGTCGGAAGGGGCGGCGGGGACTCGCCGTCATCAGAACCATCACGCGGGGGGGGGGAGGGATGCTGGGACTGAAAAACCTCGAGCGAGCCTTGCGCCACCACGGTTTAGACCAAAATCCCTCCTAGTAATTTTACGGTGGCCAAAATGATTACCGCTCGACCGACCGTCCTACGTAGAGACATCGGGTGGGGGTGGCGGCCGCCCCCTTCAAGGGAATGTGGAATTTCCAACGCTGGCTCGGTGGGGGCAGGGCGGGGACCGACAAGAGCGACGGGAGCCACCGGTTGCTCCCCTTGAGCGTGGACGATGGACGGCACGCGATGCCTTATCGTGCACCGCGACCCGCTTACGCCGGCCAGTCGGTCTTGGAAAAGCGTTGGGAGTAGCCGCACCTTGGGAGTGATTTATTAACCCCGTCCTGGGGCTCCCCCCAAGGTTGACTCGGCCTATTGAAGGCGCTCGCTAACGTATGCAGGTACGTACGTATGTTGAACTTCTTTCGCACCGTACGTAGCCAACCGTACTAATCGAAGGTGCGGGGGGGGGGGGGCGAAGGACAAACAAAATTTAAAAAAGCGGTCCTAAAGAAATGAGGTTTTAATATAGATGATGATTTAAAAGGGGCGTTAGATCACAGCGGCTTCCTAATATCGGAAGGAAGAGCATTCCAGACGGCCGCGGAAGCGCGTCTGAAAGCACCACGAGATGCGGTGACCGTCTTTGTTCAATGGGCAGCCAAATATCTTTGCTGCTGCGAGGATGACCAGAGTTTGCGTGACAGTTTATGGTCCGTGACAAGATCAGTGAGATGTTGTGCGATTAAACCCCTTAACCCATACCACCATCGCACGCAACCTTCCATGCGGTGATTGTAAAGTGTGGCTCTCCCACCTTACCCCTTCCAAAATGTAGTCATACCTCGGTATACGACCGCTTTGGAATACGTCGAATTAGGTACACGTCGTGTTCTGACGAGAAAAAAATGTATTGGGATACGACGTCTTGCTTGGGATACGAGGCGCTTGCTTAGAACTTGTATGGGTCGGGATGAGTCACCGCGTACCCGCGTATACCCTGTTCACCACTCCTCCCCTTCCTCACCACCATCCTCGTAGGCTATCAACTCCTCTCAGCAAGGTAAAGTGATGTTAAATTTGATTTTGATTTCAATATTTTAATTTATTTATGCTTTTATTTTCTCTCTCCCTGTGGTCACGTGGATTTTTCCCCAGGCCACCCGGTTTTCCCCCTCCCTACATTTAGAATCAACAACACGCGGCGTTTTGAGCATTCGAGCTGCACTACATTTTCACGCGATAAGCCACTTCGCCGAGATATCGTCTGTGGCCGGGTCGGCTTCTGAAAACAAGAGCTATACAGTGGAGCCTTACCTGGTAAAATAAAAAAAATAGTACAAATGGCTAAAATTTACTACCGGAGGGAGGGGGGGGGGGCGCCTTGCCATTGTGCCCATCCCAACTCGCTCTCCCACGCCGCCATGCGACTCAGGCCTAGCGAGGCCCGTGGGCCGGCCCTGCCCACGGGGCGATCGGCGCGCACAGCCCCTCTCACCTGCCCCACGATGCGTTCCTCCGTGGGCATCTCGAACGAATTGACTGGTGGCTTCACCTTGAGCAGGTTGACGGCGATGGGCTTGCCTGTCTTGCGGTCGGTGGACACCTCGAACTCCACGTCGTCTGCGGCGAGGGGTCGGGGGGGTGCGAGGGGGGGGCATGCGGGGGGGGGGGGCACGTGTGAGAGGACACGCAATGGGGGGGTCATCGAGCCGTGGGCTCCAGGTTCAGGGGGGCTACGAACGACCACTGTCGGGCGTTGCTTGGCAAGCGGATCGACTTTCGCAATTCCTGCGCGCAGTCTTCTCCCGCCCCGTCTTCCGACCTCGCTCAGATCAATCAACGTCAGCCTCTCATCTGTTGCACCGCCGCCTTCAGTTGTTCACGGTGTCTCTGGGGCCTCCGGCCCTGTGCTCGGGAACTCTCGTAAATGATCGAGAGGTTCGACGGAGCGAGCGCGCGGTGGCCACCACGCGTTTACGTGGCTAGGGTGGCGAGTGGTTGGGGGCGACTGAATGTGGAGGAGGTGGCGGGAGGGAGGGGATGGCGCAGTGACTTGGCCCAACGTCAACCGCTTGTTGCAGCAAGGTTCCCCGCGGCCACCCACAAAGTAATAGCGTGGGCGAGTGATCCCCGCGATAAAAGATCTCTCCCCGTGACGCCAGAACGCAAGGGTGAGTGAGCCCCGTTCATTGTGTGTGCTGGCGTCACGGTCCGAAATTCGCCAGATAGAAAAAAAACACTGCTAATTACTCAATCGAACTATAAGCACATGTAGTAATCACTGCCCCTACGGGGACGACTCGGCAGGACAACTCCTGAAAAACAATATCATGAGACTGAGCGAGATTCTGCTCGGAAATACAAGCGGAATAATAAATAGTAATAACGGCAATGACGGAGGCGTCGCACCTCCGATTAGCGCGGCTGCCTACGTGCCGCGCTCAACAAGCTCAACGTACGAGCACGCGCGCGTTGCTCACCTCCGACCTTGAGGTCCTGCACGTGTCCGCGGAACTGCGAGTAGTGGAAGAAGAGGCGCGCCTGTCGCTCGTAGCACTTGACAAAGCCGTAGGATTGCATCAGCTTCTCGACGCAGCCGGTCTCGCGCAACACCGGGCCCACCGTCACGCCGTCCCCGTTCAACAGGCTCGCGTCGTAGCTCATCTGCGCCCGAAAGGGAGGGGGCAGCGAGCGGAATTATTCCCCAGCCGCGCTCAACGATGGATGACGGGCGAGCGCGAGGAGGTGACGGCTTCCCCCCCCCGCCCCCCGACTCGGAGGACTTGCAAAGAGAGACGCTTTGGATTCGTAGTCCTAATTGCGACAGCATTTCAAGCCAAGTGTGGGAGCGCACGCCCAGACAGTGCCGCGTAGCAGAGGTCGCAAACGGGTTTTGATTCCTTACCCGTACCCGGCCGCACCAGGGTCGCAAACGGGTACACGTACCCTACCCGATACCCGGCTACCCGTACCCGGCCGGGTATCGGGTAGGGTACGGGAACCCGATTGCGACCTCTGGGATGCATCCATGTTGCAGGCGCGGGTGGGTTGATTCTAGGAACTTGAATTGTGAGAAGAGACAAGACGTTGGGAAATGAGTGACAAACGGTTACTCACCAGTGACTCACGGCCTACCCGTACCCGGCCGCACCAGGGTCGCAAACGGGTACCCGTACCCGGCTGGGTACGGGTAGGGTACGGGTATCGGGCACCCGGTTGCGACCTCTGCCACGTAGTAGTAGTAGCACCTACACTCAAGTGGTAACCGCTAGGGGTCACTCCTGGCAAAGCCCTCGAGTAAAGCCCCCTTGATAATTGGTTCTTTACCCTTCTATCTGGCAACAAAACTGACACCTTTTTTACAAGGAGTCATGTTTGCATAGACCGCAATACCTGCAGTCATAATACAAACAAAAGAACATAACTCTGATAATGTGCACTGTCCTTGAAGTTGATTGGTCCACACCCGAGACAGCTTTTGTTGCCAGATAGAAGGGTAAAGAACCAATTATCATATTTTTACTGGCAAATGAGGTTCCCATAGTAAAGCCCCCTTCTTTGGGGATCCCTCCTGGCAAAGTCTCCTCTCTAGGGGTCCCCCCTCCATGGCATTGCCCAAACAAAATTCCCTTCCTAGGGGTCCCCTAATGTTCGAGCCCCCCAAGAGAGCCCCTTTCTATCGCCGAGTCTCGACAGCAGCGGTCGCTCCGAGGCAGCCTCGAAACTGTGGCCAACCCCTCAGCCTCCCCCTATCTCCCTCTTTGACCCACGTAGTTCTCGAGCTCACGGAGAGAGAACCCGCTGAGCGAGGTCAACCAAGGGGGGAAACCAGGAGCCACGTGTCCCAAGAGCCGGAGTCGACATTCCCTCGTCATGCGCAGCTCCCGCGGGGGTTTAAACGCGTTCATCTCTATCAAAGGGAGTCAGAAAGGCGCGCCCCGCCTGTTGGATGGCACGCCATGCCAACGACCTGTCATTCACAAGTGCAAATGACAGGAATATGATAATTGGTTTTTTTACCCTTTTATCTGGCAACAAAACTGACACCTTTTTTACGAGGAGTCATGTTTGCATTGACCACAATACCTGCAGTCGGAATGCCTTTTGGCGTCATCTGGTCCAACACCAGTGGAGACTAGGCTCTAAGAAAAGCTGTCTCGGGTGTGGACCAATAAACTTCAAGGACAGTGCATATATTATCAGAGTTATGTTTTTTGTTTGCATTCCGACTGCAGGTATCGTGGTCAATGCAAACATGACTCCTTGTAAAAAAGGTGTCAGTTTTGTTGCCAGATAAAAGGGTAAAAAACCAATGATCATATTTTGCTACTGGCAAATGAGGTTCCAATGGTGTAAAGACAGGAATAGTTCGATTATCCGTGGGTGGATTATCCAAATGAGGTTAACCGCTGCTTGCCAAACCATTGACGTCTTAAAGCGCCCCTCGCAGGCTCGGCGGGGGCCCGGTGCTCACGCGACGGCAAAAACACCGGCGAGAGTTCAAACGCCGCTGACTTTAGGAGGAAATAAAAATCAGAAGGCGAATCCATTCCAAGTTCATTAACCCCTCGATTAACGACCGTAATCAATCGGTACGTTTTCACTAGCCTCATTCACGCAAGTTTATTTTCCGGTCTTTATAATTATTATCAGAGTTTTTTTTTTGTTCGATCCGGGCCGCCCTTCCCCTCTCTCGCTACCGCGGATAAATCGAGAGTTGTCTTGTAGTGCCTGAAGTTACGGGGAGGGCGGCGGGGGGGGCGGTTGGTGGGGTTGTTGTCGCCGCTGCTGGGTGCGCACGCGCGACGACACGATCGCTTCAACGGTGCACAACAACAAAAACAACCATCTCACACCGAGCCATGCACCCACCAGGGGTGTGCCGTTAGCGAGCACCTGTTAAGAGCAGTCAAAGTCACACACGGATTGGTGTTGGGCGAAAACACCACCAACCCAAGTACTAACAACAACCATCGATCACACGCTACGTACTCATGTTAGGCCGAGCTGACCTTTGCAGGGCCTCCAGACCGGTTTAAGAATTCAATCGCAAGCGTTGTGCACGGCCAGGTATCTGCTGCATACCACCAAACACATTTCGTGCAGTTCCACACCCAACTTTATAACCACAGTGGCGACTGTTCACAAAACGCACAAGGTACTGAATTAAGTCCGAGTAGACCTAGGGAAAGGCCTAGGAACGTTCCGGATAATCGCCACCTGGTTGCTGTTGGCCACGAGCAGGAATTGAATTCGGGTCGCTGGTTTTATGGCACAGCGCGCGAACCACTACGCTACTGCTCCCCAAGCATTGCACGCTCATGCACGCGCGCGATGTCCCCATCTTGCAAAAAAACTGGCAGAACCTGTTGTTTGAAGCGTTAATACCGACGTGCCCAAACACACGCGCGCACCACCGCCCACATTGGGCACAACACCATGTGCCTCCTCGTCAAGCTGGCGCACGTAGCGCAGAGACGACTCCCATCTGGACCGCGCCAACCGACGGCAGGCAGACGAGTGGGCAGGCAAGGGCGGGCAAGATAGCTGGAAGTGAAAATGTGTACGCGTAGTAGGTTTTTCGCAGCCGGCATTAATGATTTCGCAGTCGATTTTTTTTTGGGGTAAGGCCACGTCAACGATCGGCCCGAAAATTTGTTTTGGTCGGGACCCGCCACCACCCGACGTGGCCAAACTAAATCGAAATCGTCACACGTGCCAACCTTGAACGCGCCAATTGTTCATATTATTGTTCAGCTCAATGGCGAGTTTAAAGAACGATTCTAACAGATTTTGTCTTATTTGCTTGGCTAGATCGGGTCCTGGGGAGGGGGGGGGGTCTTAATGGCACAAATCTGGCCAGATCATTGCACGGCCTGACCCAAAAAAAGGCATTATGAGCTGCACTACCAAACTGCTAAACACAAACCGTAAAACTTAACCCCCAGGAGGGCCGATGGGGGTGGGGGGGTGGGGAGCTGGGGTTAGAGAGCATTTCTCCATGCAGAAATGCTGGCAATGACACCGAACTACCACCGCCATATCTATTGCGCGGCGGTTGAACTTACGACTCTCGCTCCGAGCAGGCTACTGGACGTACGGACCAGGTTTGTTCGTATCTGAAAGTTCGCAAGCAGAGTCCCTGATAATATCACCGCTGCCCGACAGCCGCTCACATTTGCTCAAATTGATTTTGACGGCGACCAGAGAGGAGAGGACCACAATGCACTTCTTCAGGTACCCGCTGCTGTTCCGTTTTCCGATGCGGTTTGATTTTTTGTCGTCGTCGTCATTTGCGCATTCGATTAGTGGGCACACGGCACACAGGCAAGGCAAGGCCAGGCACGTTAGTAGTTTGGGATCGTTGGTTGCGAGGGCTGACTTCCCTTCACCCCCGGTCCGTCACAGAGGCGCGCCACACCCCGCCCCCCCGCTGGCGGTTTAAGCGTCTCGGGGGCGACTTACTGAGCGCTGGTACAGTGGCTTGCGTCTGCGCTGAGCAGGATGCTGGCTGGAGGACGGATGTGCACGGGACTGGAGGATGGAAAAGAGGAGTGAAGATGGAAGTGGTGGAGGGGAGGGGGTGTGGGTGGGAGTTGGGTAGAGGGGGCACCAAGGAAACAGAAACAAGGAACCCTGCCCCCCCCCCCACCGCCGACAATTGTCCAAGCTCTGGTCCTACGTTGGTTATGTTCGAAGGTAGGGTTTGACGCGATATCACTTTTCGCTAGACTCGAGTAACACATTTTCACGACTTGACAATTAGAGCCATCAGTTCCCCATGACTCTGTAAAAGTTGCAATGCACGTTTGTACTGCATTGCTTTCGTCCTCCCAAGTAGGTAAAAAGCGTGAAAAATTATCAACGCAGGCCACGCAACATTAAGTGCCGTACCATGCCTTCTAATAATTATTGCAACTTCGCAGGCTATATCGGCAGGCTGTCAGCAAACGATGATGCGATATGTAACAGCTGTGGTGCCTTTAAAAAGCACAGATTTAAATGGGAGATACCTATTTATTTATAGCTTTAAACCATAAGCGAAAATCTTTGCTATTTCGTTGCATATTTTGCCAGGAAATTAATCGTCGGGAGAATATTTAACGGGCAATGACGACGATCGGGGAAAAAAGCAACATCTTGCAAGACGGATGATACAATAAACCGCGGCGATTGCCTCGATCGACGCCAACATTTTTCAAGTGACCAATCGACCACAAATGCCTTGCTGGACTTACAAATCGATTTGTGCGCTCACTGCGCGCGTACGGCATCCCGGCAACGTGCGAAACGATCGTTGTCGTGTTGTACTCGTCGTTATGCTATTGGTTCAGGCGACCCCCCCCCCACCACCCCTTGCAGCCAAATAATGCGCTACAATACACCGCAATGCCAAATAAAAATTATAATCGCAACGGCTTCCCGAATCGTAACTCCCGAGCGACTGCTTGCCCAACAAGGTTGCGTGCAACTAAATGACGCTTGTGTGGATGTCGCGCAAACTGGTTGCTTGACGCGGCGACAGAGTGTGCCTCCTGTTGAGCGATTCGGCTAAGCGACCGTTCGCTCCGGCATGAACCCGCGCCGTTTTTCCCCGTCGCGCGCGACTAGTGGCGACCCACGGAGAAACGTTGGCCAAGCGAATTGCCGCCGTCCACCGCGGCAGAAACGCTGTGCCGTGGAAAAAATCCCGGCGCGGACGTGGAGTCGAACCCAGGCGTCGTCGACGCACACTCACGGCGGAGCGGTGCGACGGGGAGACGCCCAGAGCGTGGGACGCGCGGACTGGCACGGGGCACCCACCACCAACGCCGCCGCCACCACCACCACTGCCACCGCCATCAGGACCCACGCACTCCAAGGGGCAGAGGGACACGGGGAACTCGGCCGTGGAAGAGAAACCCTTCCAAGCGTCGGCCATCGTCACAACCGTGCCGACTTTTATGGAGAAGGTGACCGAGCGGGAAGGGGGGGCGGGAAGGAGAGGAGAGGAGAGGGAAGGCAGCAGCAGCATATGGAGAGAGGACAGGGCAGCGCAAGGTGCGTGTGGAGAGATGGATTTTTATCTTGTCCCGTCGGCTACAGCTCCTCCCGTAGGTGATAATTTTGACAATTTTTTTACTTAAACCACCCCGATATAAATTCGACCGTGCTATCCACGTCGCGTCAGGACATGACGAATCCACCAGAAACTCTCGCCGTGAGCAGTGCATCACACCCCGCGTGTGAGAATACGGCCCCCATCAAAGCGAACTTCAACGAAACTCCCAAGATGCCTCCAACTGCCCTTCCGATCCACGAATCAAGAGCGGGCACACACCTTCCCACCCGAGCTACTTCCGAGAAAATGTTGTATTTGAGTGCAGGATGCCTGGGGTTTCACGGAAGGAGATTGGGGGGAGGATGCGAGCAACTTGGGAGGTTTCCGAATGGAGCGTGGCACGAGAGTGTTACGGACTCATCTTCTTGGTTCTTTCGGTACAGTCACGTAGAAGGGAAATAATAAAATAATAAAAATAAAACATAATAAAATAAGACGTTGTCTTTCCGACAGACCTGTTCTTCACCTGAGGACGGCTACTTGCGTTGTGGCCGAAACGTCGTGAGAATTATTTTATTATGTTTTATTTCTATTATTTTATTTCCCTTCTACGCGACTTTACCGAAAGAACCAAGAAGATGAATCCCTGCAGTCACGAAAGCTTTAAATCGAGAGTTACGGACGTCAAAATCGATCATACAACTGATGAGTCATAACAACGCTCTTTTTCACAGATGTCCAGTAAGGGAGGAGGGGGGGGCACAGGGTCCGAAAGTTGCAACAAACAATACTCAAGAAAACACGACGGGGGTGCAAAGTAGAGGGAAGGTAATTGAGGAATGGGGGAGAGGTTGTGATGGGTGGGATGCTTGCGCAGGATTGAGGGGAGGGGCAGGTGACCAAAACAAGTGACGAACTACAGTAGGGGTTCTACCCTAGAGGGGGGGTGGGGTGCGCGTGGATCCTCAAGGGATCATAACAGCTGATAGCGGACGACAACATTGTAGCTCTTGCACCCTGGGTATTTTCATCAAGTGTCAAAAAAAAACGAGCAAACAACCACGTTGGGATTGGTTGGGGTGTAAAGGAACAACGTGATTATAGGGGACAGGCTACCATTTACTCTTCCGAAAGCGCCGACCCCCGCTTGACCACCCGCCAAAATCCCGAACCGAAGGCGGCAGTTGTTGACATCCTGAAAAGAGCCCCCCCGAACGGCGCAGTCACGTGCAAACATCGGAAGAAAAACCCGATGAAAAAAACCCGTCACCGGCATGAGAAAGGGGTTAAAAGGAGGCACGACCGCTCAACGGAGAAACCTGCCGAAGGAAAAAAATAGGGGCGCAACGACCGGACGCTCGGCGGTTCAACGGCATTGGGGGGGGAAGGGGGGCGCACACGGAGGGCGGAAGCGTGGTACGCACCTTGCTCGCGTTATATTTTTACTCGTATCGTAAATTGCAGTTGAAGGTATCTTCGTAAAGAGGTGCACGTTTCGTCACTTTGCTTTGCTTGCTTGCTTGTGATTTTGAGGAGGCCGCGCGCGACAGCTGTTGGGCTCACGCGGCGGTGCGCGGTGGGGTACACGGCACGCGCTGGCACACACGTACCACCACAGCGTACCACCACAGCGGCTGCTCGGTTGTTGGTTGTTGTTTTTTTTGTTAAAAGAGGTTGTGTAGACTGCAGCAGTCAGAGTGCCGATTCGAAGCTGTTGAGTAGGTACAAACTTGGCGACGCTGGATTCAAACTTGATTCGTCTTAAAGATTACAATTTTTACGTTCCCTTGTAGTTGTTCTCTGCTCGGTTTCTTTGGTATCTTTCTTGGCGCGGTGGAAATTTTTTACTTTTTTCTTTAGTTTTTACGTCGTTAGGTTGAGCAGCGTTTTCGTTTGTTTTTGTTCTCTTTATACCTCGACTTCAGATGGAATCCCACTTACTTCACAGCATACTGCAACAACACACACACACACACAAAGCAACAGCAGACACACGTTAGAACTTTCATCTTATAAACTAAACTACTAAACAACGTTGTATTTGACCAAGTAAGGCACAGCTATAGAGCTATTTTTCAGATGTGACCTGGCCACAAATGATAGCTCAACGAAGTTGCTTATCATGTGGAAATTTATAGCAGCCAAAATGTGGAGGGAAAAACTGAATGACCCGGTAAAAAAATCCACGCGACCACGGGAGAACACGCAAACTCCATGTATACAGGCGTCAGGGTCGGGATCGAACCCACGACCTCCTGTACACCAGGCGAGGTAGTTAACATCTCCTAGCCACCGTGATGATGATGAGAGAGAGAGACACTCAAACTTCATGTATACAGCAGCAGGCGTCAGGGTAGGGATCGAACCCACGACCTCCTGTACACCAGGCGAGGTAGTTAACATCTCCGAGCCACCGTTGGCACCTTATTTTAATGTACATACTTCCTTGACTAAGGCGCTGAAAAGGAATTATACATTTCTACAGTAGAAGTGTGATGAGATGATGATGGTGGTGCGTAATAAATAATATGACGCGCAAAATAAAATGATGAAACCGACGATGAATGAGTGCAATGAGTAGGCAGGGATGTTCGCAAAGGGGATGTAGTTAGTGATGGGGAAGGAAGAGGAGGATGAGGAGCTTGGGGTAAGCGAGTGAACGAGGGTATTAAGGGAAGAACGAAATTTGGACAGCGAGGCAAATTGTTTCGGGTGTAAGGAGGAGCCAGAAGCGAGAAAAAAATGGAACGGGGATTGGGCACAAGGAGGAGGAACAGACAGCGAGACAGCTGGGATGGTGAGCGGAGGGGAGCGTGGAACGAAAGGAGAGAAGCGAGATACGTTGGGGCCAGACCACGAAGAGATTTTTGTGCACAAGTGTTATCTCTTCACGGGCGCGATAGATGCGCTGAAAACAGACAACTACAGTAAAACCTTGGATTGCGAATAACTTGGTCTGGGAGTGTTTTGCAAGACGAGCAAACATTAAAAATAAATATTAATTTGATAAACGAGCGAGGTCTTGCAATACGAGCAGTACGTGTATACGCTTTGTCTGCCGAGCGTCACGTGATCACAACTGATATACGAGTGCTTTGGATTACAAACACATTTCCGGAACGAATTATGCTCGCAATCCAAGGTTTTACTGTACTAGAAAACGCACTTCTCAACAATGAACAAATGTACTTATTATTTTTCACCAACGCTAGCAGCGCGCAGTCCAAAGGACGTGGACGTACCTCATGCCCTCCCTCCCTCCTAGCCAGCCAGCCAAACTTTTCTCAAACATAGTATAATAGTGAGTATAGGTTTTGCCCTTTTCTGGCAACAAAACAAGTGTTAAGATGTTAAAACACCAAACTGAAACCTTTTACAAGGAATCATGTCTGCATTAACCACAATACTTGTGGCCAGAATGAAAACAAAAAAACACTCTGATGTTTTAACATCTTAACACAACTGTTTTGTTGCCAGAAAAGGGGAAAACCTATTCTCATATTTTGGTACTGGCAAAGGAGGTCCCATGCTATAGTATGACAGTGTTATAAAGTATACGGCACATTTGCACAGCATCCGAGGCCGGGGTGGTGGAGAGCGATTGGGGTGGGAGGGGCGTGAGATGAGCGCAATGCAGGAATCAGACTCAACGCTGTGGGATTGCTTGCGATGTCATTGCGCAAGAATCCAGCCAGCACAGCTTTCTTTTCCCTGACATGATAATGAATTCTTTCCCAAGAAAACGAGTTATTGCGCAACACACACGTCCAAGATGCTCAAAGCGTATATCTGAACACCACATTTTAGATTTGTTTGCCATTGCCTCCGGTTGTGTAGATTACTTCATGGGTCAGCATTGCAACAAGCTGCCAAATCAAACACTCATCTCAATCTGTAACAACTCAACGCCACTTGGAGGGATGGGTTATCGACTTTGCTACGATGGACCCCAGTAGCAGCAGCCGTCAAGACGATGGTCAAAGTGTGGTGGGGCGAGACACATGTTGTCATTGCTCACGTGACAGCTGAACCTTGACTTTATTCTCAGTGTGCCTTATAGCGTCATCTGGTCCAACACCATGTGAGACTAGGCTCTAAGAAAAGCTGTCTCGGGTGTAGACCAATCAATTTCAAGGACAGTGCAAACATACATTATCAGAGTTGTGTTTTTTGTTTGCATTCCGACCGCAGGTATTGTGGTCAATGCAAACATGACTCTTTGTAAAAAAGGTGCCAGTTTTTTTGCCAGAAAAAAGGGTAAAAAAAACAATGATCTTATTCTCAGTCTTATTCGTAATGGTCCAAAACTACACGCGCGGATGTCCATCAGAAAAGACACACACGTTTCATATGCAGGTCTATTCCGGTAGAATTTGCATTAAAAGTCAACGACGCAACAAGAGAAATCCAGTCGGTATCCAGATTTGATTTTTTTGCGGGTGTGGAATTACTTTGCTCGATCTGGAATGCGAACGTGGCTATTTTTGGGGCATGGTAAATCCACTCCAGTTGGCAACTGCAAAACGCCAAGCCGTGCGCGGGAGACTTAAGAGCAACAGCATGTGAACTATGTTAGAGATTGTCGCTGGCTTAAGGGTGACCCCCCCCCCCCCAAACATGCAAGCAGTTGAGATAGAGGGCCTCCAGTGGAACCTTATCGCGCTCGAGAAACACGCTTTCATTTGAGTCCAAGCTTCTCCGCGCTCAAAGCAACACATCGCCGGCTCTGCTCACCACTGTCCACGACTGGCCACCGAGCCAACGGTGGAAATTCCACCACTGCTACGACCGACCGGGGGAAGCCTTCGCGCAGAACTCACGGCTGCAGCGTGAGGCACGGGTTTGCCCCAGGTTGAGAGATTATATCTAGCGAGATGAGCGGCACAGAATATTAAACTAATCGATTCGGTGCGGTGCGCTTTGACGTGCATAACTCCAGTGGCTTCCTAATATCGGAAGAGCGTTCCAGACGGCCGCAGAAGCGCATCTGAAAGTGCGCGATGGGGTGACACCACCGTCAATGCGCGATGGCTCAGCCAAAAGCCCTTGTGAGGATGACCGGAGTTCGCGTGATGATGATTTATACTCCTTGACGAGATTAGCAGGGTATTGTGATTCATTTGTGGCAAGCGCTTTGTGTGTGTGTGTAGTGAACGCGACCTCATGACGTATTCGTTCGGCAACGGGAAGCCACTGGACGATTCCTAGAGGCCCTTTACAAATGGCAGCCTCGTCCCACATCATACTTCCTGAGCGCGACCAACGCTCGGCTTGACGCGGCTGACGACGCCTCCCGTCCAGCGGCAACGCATGGTTTCAGAGGTTAAGGTTTTATTTTTATTTTTCCCCGTACCAAACTACGTTTGTGTTATCCGATATGAGCAGGCATCGAACCCAATAATCGGCAGAGCAACCGATTATTGAACTAGCCGAATGACCCCGCTGTACTCGTGCATGATTATTAAGCGATGCTACTGCTTCGGTGGTGCCGAGCACAAATAAGAAAACGACTCAACGACCACGTCAACGGTACTGCCTTGAGAATGAAAAGGTGTCGTAAAATGGGCTGTGTTTGGGGAAAAGGGCCCTTCATAACAGAGGGGGAGAGAGGCCAGAGGCTCCATAAACCAGTTTACACCGAGAAAGGAGAGTGAAAATGCAGGGCATCCCTTTTTGTTGCCCTGTAGCGACACTTCCCGTATCTGCAGGGGACATTTTAAACCGTTAGCTTAAGATGACTAACGTTCCAGGCAGCAATGCTGCGATCCTAAAATAAAAGCAACAGAAATAACTATGACATAACAGGAAAAACACAACTGTTGACGCATTACCTAGAGCTCTTGAAATAAAAAAAAATGTGACTCGCCATGTAAAAATGTAATATGTTTTAGTCCATCGGCCCGTGTGGTTTTCAGACGAATATTATTCGGAGGCATTTGTTTAGGCAGGCAATATTATGGGCAAGTTTGATCGTTTGGATCTCATCAGCAGTCAAGGCTTTGCTGCTGGAATGTAAGTGCCAGAGCAGCGCTTTTGAAAATCAGGGCACTGATCAATCCAGAAGTGTCTCACTGGCTTAACGCGGCTGATGATACAAAAATGGTTGAACCAGTCCAGCAAGTGCCTGTTTAATATTGGATGATAAACAATATTGGTCCAAAACAACTGTCGGCTGTAAAATTAAAACAGCGATCAGTTTACGACCGAATTCTCCTTAATAGAATACCCACTTACTTCCCTTATTTAAATCAAATGCTGGCGGTGCATTTTATAATCTGGGAGGTATGCGTTTGTGTGCGCGTGTAATCACATTTGGGTAACTTCATTGACATCGGGCACAAGTTTGGGGTCGATTTTACTTTCAGGAGAGTGTTTTTTTTCTAATCCAGGGAAGAAGACACCTATAATATCCTGTGCACCTCCAATTAGCACGGTTGGCTATGTACGGAGTTCAACATACATACATACATTCCACAAAAATGCAAAATTCGTGTTTTTCCTATACCTTTTCAACCTCATGTTTCAGTCCTCCCAGCACTATTTAATGCGCGTTTCTTTACAGCACATGATCTGACAGGCCATCATTAGCAGCAGCAGCGGTCACGCCACTGGCGAATGGCCTCCACATACGACCGCCAACCGCCACAGTCTTGTGACTTGGCCGATACAACGCGACACTGACCCCTGTAATTAGACAAGGCGAAGCCAATGAAGTGTGCTTCATACTTAAGTGGGGGACCTTTCAAAACGTTCGCACGGTGGTGTACGAACACTGACAAAGTGTCTGCTTCGATTACCATCTCCGGGTCCTTCGCAGCACCGCACGGTGGCGAGATGTCGACTACCTTGCCTCATATGCAGGAGGTCATGGGTTCGATGGAAACTCTGATGCCTGTTGTATATTTGGGAGTTTGCGTGTCTCTCTTCCCCTCCTCGTGGCCGTGTGGATTTTTCTCCGGGTCCTCCAGTGGCAAGATGTTAACTACCTCGCTTCATATGCAGGAGGTTGCGGGTTCGATCACGACCTTGACGCCTGTTGTATATTTGGGAGCTTGCGTGCCTCTCCCTCTCGCTCCACCCCGTGGTCACGTGAATTTGTCAGAGTCCTCCAGTTTTTCCCCTCCACATTTTGAATCGATACGCGTTTTAGAGTATTTGGCTGCTATACATTTCCACGTGACAGGTCACTTCGTTGGGCTATCATTTGTCGCCAGGTGGCCTCTGAAAAAGAGCTGTATAGCTCAGTGGGCCCTAACTGGTAAAATAAAAATCAAGGCACACCGATTTCACACCCAGTGATCCTTAACCGGAAACAAAGGCGACAGAGACCCGTTTCCCAATTCTTAGGATCTTCTTCTTTCGTGTGGCTGCTGATGTAGATGCAGACCAACAACTACAATTTCAGATTGAGGTGGTCAAAGCCAGATCACTGCGTCAGGAGCAGCGGAGTGTATCGGTGTGATGTCTCCTTCATGTTTGCAGATCGGTCATTGCGTCGTTATACGGTCCATTCTGGATGACCACAGTCGCACACGAGGGAGTTGTTAATTTTCCATTTGTGCAGTGGATGCGATTTAGGGTCGCCCATGAGCTTCGTGGAATATAAAACCCAGGGATCTTCTGCGTTGGCTGCGAGTTCTTTTAAAACTCCATTCTGATCTCCAATCTTCATCGCGGGTGGCAATGTAGATCCCACGCATCTGCATGACCACGCAACACGTTTGGTGAATTTCGGCGTACCAGGCGATTGCGGGCCATGGCTCAGGGCTGTTCTGCGACCGCGAGATGACAAGCGGCCAAACTTCACGATGCTGGCGAGTTGCGGGTTGAGTTTCACCATGCCTTTTAACTCACACTGGGGAAAACCCCCAAACCTCACCGGGGCTAACCAAGCACACGTCGAAACGGCTGCAATGATGTGTTAACCTAACAAAAAGTCAGCCTCAGCCACAGTAATAACAATTACAGTTCACATATCACCTTTCATAAAACCTCAAGGCATTTTACATTGACGATAATGGTGTGGGGGGGGGGGTAACAAGTGGCTACGTAAAAATAATATTGTATCGTGTCATTATTTACCATGCCGTTTCATTGCATTCGAATGATTGTATTACATTCTTTTAAAGTTACGGGAACAGAATTATGCCAACTCCACACAATCTCTAATTTACGTTACGGAAGAAGATAAATACCTGTCAATGTAGAACGGTTGAGCAAGGTTGAGTTGAGAAGATATTTTACTATTGGCAGTAACTAACGATAGAATTCTAGGTCTCGCTAGTTTACAATAGACAAGTAATTTTTTTAAGGTTATCAAAGCAATACTTAAATCTCTATATCGATCTGCTTTTATTGTTTTCTACGGTATGTGTAATTGTAGTACTTTCTGTTTAACACCTTCCTATTGGTTGCTGTTGTGATAATACAATACTCTATAGACAATAAACACAACAGCAGCATTGCTTATTTGGAAAAGAAAAGTGTCATCATTAAGAGGTCAACGAACCACATGAGCAGGCCGTGTTTATGAAAGGTTCCTCCGAGTGCCGACATATTCTATCTTATATTAAAAGGAATATACTCTTTGGGTCTTTCGTTAAAGTCACGTAGATAGCAACACAAGCAATCGTCTGATTGCTTGTGTTGCGATCGAAACGTCGTGAAATATTTGTTTTTCTATCAACGTGACTTTACCGAAAGACCCAAAGAGTATGAATTCCTGCAGTCACGAAAGCTTTAAGTGAAGCTGTAAAAGGAATACTGAAATTAAAGTAAAATACTAATTTCCAGGCCTTTGTGAACCATGACAAGGCGTGTGACTTGAGAAAATTTGATCGAGTTATCCAAGCTCTGAGAAACCAAGGTACTAAAAATATATATTTTAAACTATATTTTTTACAAAGACTGAATAGGTCAAAAGTACAGTACAATGAGGCTACATGAAGGTAAAGAAAATACGTCTTTTATACAAATATACCTACCAGGGTAAAGCAACGAGAAATGCTTTCACGTGCCATTCGAGGCAGCGTGACAAGTTTTTTTCGGAAAATAGTTTGGGAGAAATGAACCTTGAAAACATAAATGGGGTATTTATATATACTCTATGGTTCTTTCGCTAAAGTCACGTAGAAAGAGAAAATAATAAATTAAATAATAGCATACGACGTTTCGATTGCAACACAAGCAATCATCATCAGGTACAAGTGAAAGAAAACAAAACCTAGTAACACAGAGTCGGCTAACATAACAGTCAATACCCTACCTGGTTGATTACGTTCTTCCAAAGATTGCTAAATTTAGGAGAGATTAAACACAGACAGACACGTAAGCAGAGAGAGATAACACAGAGACACACACAGAGAGACAAACACATAGATACATATAAACTCAAGATTTGCTGATGTAAGTCATGAGAATAACCAACGGAAATATACTCAAGGAAGAGAGTTGAACCGAATTAAGAGGATTGCTCAGATGGTTTAACAGTCGGCAAACCATGAGCAAACCCACGGGATGGACAACTGGAAATGATCGTAGAATGTTTACTTCTTGAGTTATTGTAGCAGATCCGAGCCGCTTTTGCCCACTAGAACTTGACAAATAAAGCAACGTATACAGCACCAAATGACCTAACAAAGAACAGTTTTCTCACGCGTACAAATGACGTCCAACGACACATGTGGCCAAGAAACACGTAAACCGAACCACAAAACTTGACATTAAAGTTTGTAAGTGCGCAAAAGAAGCATAGAGTGGTGAATGAGGGAATTGCATTGCGAAAATATTAAAAGGGGGCACACACACACGCGCAAAAGATCGGCGCAGAAGATGCGCAATTTTTGATCGGGACCATGGTGACTTAACAAAACTCGGTGGGGCTAGGGCAGGCCACGCTGCTGCTGCAAGCGTTGGTCGGTAGCTGGTTTGGGTTTATAAATTCGCGACTGAGAGAATCATTCACCGACAGAGATGGAGGCACGAAATCCCACCCCTAAAAAATAAAACGTTGTCAAGGAGTAAAATGGAATTGGATTATGAGGGATGGAGATATGGACCCAGAGAGAGGCCTGAATCCAGCAGTGATGATAAGATCGCGGCAGATATGTAACATTATTTAATAGTGTGTTTTACGTCTATTAATTAATACACGTATGCGTCCAATATCGATCAAGTATTCAAGGGCTTAAATCAGTTTTTTTGTTCGCACGTCAAGGTAGTGTGTGCTCAGCGATGGGGCAAAACAAATATGTTTTGCGATGCTTGTGTTGGTCGTGCCAACCTCGCACAAATAACAACCACCCTAATAAAGAGAGAGAGGCGACGTTTCGGAAAATGCCCCTTTTAAAGGAGACCCGCAGCGCTCTCTTGCCATTAACGTCGCCCGATAACATCGCCGATTATTGTTTTTCAAATTGGGCAGTCTTATTCAAGTTCATTTATATTAGGTATAGCCCTGTGAGCCATTCGGCTCTTGAATAGGGTGCAACCGCAACAAACAAAAACATGAACAAAAAACATCTTAAAGTGAATACGTGACCGAGTGCAAACAGAAAATCCAAGAAATTGACCGACTAATGTGGCGAAGCTTGTTTTTTTTTACCAACTCAACACCAAAGTGGGGGATATGAACGGAAAGCGTGGGGTAGGCAGTCATCCAGCAGTGGATTGGAATAGTCTGACACTCAAACGTACGTGGCGCGCTTCCCGTATGAGCCACATCATTACAAGAATCACGTTCTCCCAGCTCCTGTATTCCTAAACAAAAAGTCGCGGTCGCGTCTTATAAACCGCTGGTTTGTATAACTTTGGGACCTTTTTTTGCCAGTATCAAAGTATTATATATTATCATGAATATATTATATATTATCAGAGAATGTTTGTTTGCATGTCCACTGCATTTACCGTGTGGTTATAGCAGTAACAGGATTCCTTGCAAAAGCTTTCAATTTGGCGTTTGAACATCTTAGCACCTGCTTTCTTGCTAGAAAGGGTAAAACCTATTTTTTCACAACTGTATAACTTACTTGACAACGGACACGCAATTGGGGTGCGTTTTATTCCCCTAGCATCTTACAATACGTACATGCGTATGAATGTATACGTACTGCGTGAACATAACCTTTGGCCTATAGGGGCACATGTTTTTCATGTTATGCTGGAGGTGAGGGGGGGGGTCCTAAATAACGTCAACTACTTACGTAACGCCTCTCAAGTAAACACAATCGCCACAACAATAAACGCAAAGTCTGAAAAACATCAACGAACTAAGAGCGACCAAATCCGAAGCGGATCTCTCCACGCCGAAAGATTTTTTTCCTCGCAGCCACCGCGGTCTTGCCTGACGCTCCCCGGCGGGAGGCCTACGCGCAGGCTCCGGGCGGAATGCTCAGGCAAGTGAGGCCGCACACGCGTAACGCCACTTGCGTCTAGCGATCGGCTCGAGCTACCCCCGCCACGCGACGCTCGGCGCGGGATGCCGAGAGGCGCCACGGAGCAGCGGCGCTCGATGAAGCGAGCCGGGAGATCGGCCGAACGAGTCAAAAGAACAAAGACTTACCCCAACAGCACACAGCAACTCCGCGCCGCCATATGCAGCACGGCACTTTTAGGGGGGGAGGGGAGAGAGTGAGGGAGGGGGTGGGCGCCCGTCCGCTTAGCCAATTAGAGAGCTCCGTCGAACCCACGCGCCCTACGTCATTGCGTACTCATTGCAAACCGCGTGCGTCTGTTGTGACGGACGCATGGTAAATTGGCTCGTGACGTCATCACGTCAAGCCATCACCCTCCACATGACGTCATCACGTCAAGCCATCACCCTCCACATTACGTCATCACGTCAAAGAGTCCCCCTCGGCCACGCCCCCTGACGTCATCGCGCGTGGGGGTCTTGCCGAGCGTGAGGTCGCCTACGCAGTTTGAAATGTTACACGACGTCATTGCGCACACAGCCACCTGTTGGATCTGCGCGTGACGTCGTTACGTCATCCCCCGCCTGACGTCATCGCGTAGGGTCTTGCCGAGCGAGAGGTCGCCTACGCAGGTTTAAAAAGTTACACGACGTCATTGCGCAAACCCCCGCCGTTGTATTGCACGTGTTGTCATTACGTCAAAGCGCCGTGGTCTGTGTGCGCAGCCTGAAATGTGGCTCTGTCGAAGACGTCATTACGTTGTGGTTAATGTTGCTGTGACGTCACCACGTAAAGCCAACGCGCGAGCGTCGTGACGTCATCGCGTCGGGCAGCTGCCGCGCAGACTGAAGTACCGTGGCTTGATGACGTCACTGCATCGGCTCTTTGCCTTTAACGCGTGACGTCATTCTTAAACCGCGTGAAGTGTGCGTCGTGACGTCATCGCGTCGGCTCGTTACCTTTAACGCGTGACGTCATTCTTAAACCGCGTGAAGTGTGCGTCGTGACGTCATCGCGTCGGGCAGCTGCCGCGCAGACTGAAGTACCGTGGCTTGATGACGTCACTGCGTCGGCTCGTTACCTTTAACGCGTGACGTCATTCTTAAACCGCGTGAAGTGTGCGTCGTGACGTCATCGCGTCGGGCAGCTGCCGCGCAGACTGAAGTACCGTGGCTTGATGACGTCAAAGCGTCGGCTCGTTGCCTTTAACGCGTGACGTCATTCTTAAACCGCGTGAAGTGTGCGTCGTGACATCATCGTGCTTTCGGCTACGTCAAATCAAGATTGATTTCCTGTACGTGTTTATGCGTAAAATATCGCGGGTCCGCTATAGGCCACGTTGTCAGCAGAGGGCAGTGCAGTAACATAAAGCACCGTACAAGGAACTCCTCTAGCTACAAACGAGTTAGGATAGATCTTCTTGGTTCTTTCGGTAAAGTCAAGTAGAATGGAAATAATAAAAGAATGAAATAAAACATAATAAAATAATTCTCATGACGTTTCGGCCACAACGCAAGCAGCCGTCCTCAGGTGAAGACCAGGTCTGTCGTGGCCGAAACAGCTGTCTCCCCGACAGACCTGGTCTTCACCCGAGGACGGCTGCTTGCGTTGTGGCCGAAACGTCGTGATCATTATTTTATTATGTTTTATTTTATTATTTTATTATTTCCATTCTAGGTGACTTTACCGAAAGAACCAAGAAGATGAATCCCTGCAGTCACGAAAGCTTTAAATCGAGTTAGGTTAGAGTTTTCATTTATTTATTTCATTTTATTTAATTTCAATTATTTGGTAAAGCCCTGTGAGCCATTCGGCTCTTGAATCGGGTGCAACCGCAACAAACAAAAAACATGAACAAGAAAACATCTTAAAGTGACTATGTGACTATGTGCAAACAGAGGTCTGTTCGTAAGTCGATTTGTTCGTAACTCCAAACTTTACTTATCTAGATTCCAAACGTGTTGTACGGCGTGTACACGAAACACGGGGGAAGGCTTTTAAGGTGTTATAATCTCCTGCAGATGTAGATGCCACTGGTTCTTCATGTTCTGCAGATGTAGATGCCACTGGTTCTTCATATTCTGCAGATGTAGATGCCACTGATTCTTCACGTTCTGCAGATGTAGATGCCACTGATTCTTCACGTTCTGCAGATGTAGATGCCACTGGTTCTTTACGTTCTGCAGATGTAGATGCCACTGGTTATTCACGTTCTGACTTTACCGAAAACACCTAATAGTATGAATCCTTGCAGTCACGAAAGCTTCAAGTCTAGAATCTTCACGTTCTACAGATGTAGATGCCACTGGTTCTTCATGTGCTGCAGATGTAGATGCCACTGGTTCTTTACGTTCTGTAGATGTAGATGCCATTGGCTCTTCACGTTCTACAGATGTAGATGCCACTGGTTCTTCACGCTCTGCAGATGTAGATGCCACTAGTTCTTCGTTCAAGTTCAAGTTCATTTATTAGGTATAGCCATGTGAGCCATCCGGCTCTTGAATCGGGTGCAACCGCAACAAACAAAAAAATTAACAAAAAACATCTTAAAGTGAATATGTGATTAAGTGCAAACAGAAAATCCAAGAAAAGACAGCAAAATATTGCAGAAAAAACACCGTACACCAACGTTGTGTGCAAAAATGCCAGTGGGATGCAAGTCAAACAACAACAACCACAAGACAACTTAGATTAAGGCCATTAGTCTAAATCTGTACCACAACAAACAAACCACTTTTTTCAATTTTCTTGCTGTGGTTTTCACACCTGATGATGATTGCTTGTGCTGCAATCGAAACGTCGTGAGAATTTTATTGTTTTATATTTTTATTATTTTATTGTTTCCCTTCTACGTGACTTTACCGAAAGAACCAAGAATATCTTAACACCTGTTTAATTGCCAGAAAGGGTGAACTATCTTCTTATGTATCACAGCTATCTATGGGACCTTTTCGCCAGAATCAAAGTATGAAAACGAATAATAGGAATTAAAAAGTAACAATAGTTTTTTTACCCTCAATAAAAGAGATACATTGCAAAAGGTGTACATATCTTAACCAACTACCCAGCTCGTTTGAATAGTTTACGTTTTTAAAAATAGTTTTTAACAGAATGATGTCCTGTGTATCTAAGGGCATGCCAACCTCTGAGATGACAACAACCACTTAACCAACTCTCGTAATCCAGGAGGGTTTGATTGAACACGTCCTGTTCAAACAAGCTGATGAGTGGTGGAAACATGTCCACAGTGTTGCTTGCGTAACCAACTATTGCTGAATGATATTGGTCTGGGAAATCAGTAGACCGATGAACTAAAACATTTGTATTTATGCGCGGAGACTCGGAACGGAGTCAATTCTGCTATGGACTTTTAAATGTAAAATTAAAACTAATTTCTTTAGAACTGCTTTGCTTCGTGTTGTGTTAAGTTTGTCATAGACAACCTAGCACGGTTTTCTATGTTCGGTGCGAAAGAAGCCCAACGTGCAGACATCGACTCACACAGAGACCCATAGACTCACACAGAGACCCAGAGACTCACACATAGACCCATATACTCACACAGAGACCCATAGACTCACACAGAGACTCACACATAGGCCCATAGATTCACACAGAGACCCATAGACTCACACAGAGACCCATAGACTCACACAGAGACCCACAGACTCACAAATAGACCATAGACTCACACAGAGACCCATAGACTCACGCATAGACCCATAGACTCACACAGAGACCCAGAGACTCACACATAGACCCATAGACTCACACAGAGACCCACAGACTCACAAATAGACCATAGACTCACACAGAGACCCACAAACTCACACATAGACCCATAGACTCACACAGAGACCCACAGACTCACACAGAGACCCGCAGACTCACACATAGACCCATAGACTCACGCAGAGACCCAAATACTCACACATAGACCCATAGACTTCGTAATCATCACCATCATCGATACCCTCCTTCACCATTGTGTTCATTTTCATCGTTATCAGTGTCATCATCATCCTGATTGGTATTATTATAATCCTCCTCATTGTAATCATCACTATTATCAATGTCCTCTGCAATCATTGTCATCATCATCAATGTCATCTTCGTCATAATAAACAATTGTTGTCGTTATCATCATCATCGGTAACATCCTTCGGCATGGGGGAAGTAAGACTGCATCTAGTTTCATAAATACAATTTTATTTTTTAAACATGTGTCATCTCGAGACCGAAGTAAACAATTACGTGCGCAGCGTGCTGTCTCCACGTGTTCGGTTCATCCGGATAATCGATCGGGGCGGATGATGCATTCGTTTACAACACCCTTGCAAACTTCCAGACGCAACTGTTTTCTCTCTCTCCATCTCTCTACTCTTTCACAGGCCTAAGTTTAAGAATAAGAAAGTCAAAAAAATCCAGTGCCCCTCTGCCAATTTCAAAAATAGCTGCTGCTGCTGCTTCGAATGACACTCCCGGTGACTCGATTCGTAGCGCGTTGCGCTCGCCACCGCGCCACCGCTCCACGCCCAGCTTAATTTAGCCGCAGTGAAGGCGCCTAATTCGTCCGAGGGCGTGATGTTAAAGACCTCATCTGGCGATGGCGTCATCCAAGACACGGACTCCTGGGCAATCGGCGAGGGATGATCCACCTCTCAAGTTGTGGCTCAGAAACCTTTGCTGCTGAGTGTGGCGAGAACTCAAGAGGCCAGGACGAGTCTCACGTTGGCGAGTGACCTGCGGTATTAGTCTGCCATCATCATCACGTTGGCTGGGAGATGTTAACTACCTCGCCTGGTATACAGGAGGTCGTGGGGTCGATCCCGACCCGGACGCCTTCTGCTGTATATTTGGAGTTTGCGTCTCTCATCATCATCACGGTGGCTAGGAGATGTTAACTACCTCGCCTGGTACGCAGGAAGTCGTGGGTTCGATCCCGACCCTGACGCCTGCTGCTGTATATTTGGAGTTTGCGTCTCTCATCATCATCATCATCACGGTGGCTAGGAGATGTTAACTACCTCGCCTGGTACGCAGGAAGTCGTGGGTTCGATCCCGACCCTGACGCCTGCTGCTGTATATTTGGAGTTGGCGTCTCTCATCATCATCACGGTGGCTATGAGATGTTAACTACCTCGCCTGGTGTACAGGAGGTCGTGGGTTCGATCCCGACCCTGATGCCTGCTCTATATTTGGAGTTTGCGGTGTCCCTCTCTCCCCCTGTGGTCGGGTTAATTTTTTCTCCGGGTCATCCGGTTTTCCCCCTCCACGTTTAGAAGCACGCGTGTAGAGTATTTGGCCGCTATAAATTTCCACACGACAAGCCACTGTGCTGAGCTACCCTTCGTATGACCGGGTCGCTTCTGAACAAAAGTCAGTGGAGCCTGACTTGTTGATGAAATAAAACGTGGTTTCGTTTTTAGTTTAATAGTTTTGGGCGATGATTGCGACCTATTCAGTCGTTACAGGACGGACGGTGGTGGCATACATAGACTCACACAGAGACCCATAGACCCACACAGAGACCCATAGACTCACACAGAGACCCATAGACTCACACAGAGACCCATAGACCCACACAGAGACCCATAGACTCACACAGAGACCCATAGACTCACACAGAGACCCATAGACCCACACATAAACACATAGACTCACACAGAGACCCATAGACCCACACAGAGACCCATAGACTCACACAGAGACCCATAGACTCACACAGAGACCCATAGACTCACACATAGACCCATAGACACACACAGAGACCCATAGACTCACACAGAGACCCATAGACTCACACGGAGACCCATAGACACACACAGAGACCCATAGATTCACACAGAGACCCATAGATTCACACAGAGACCCATAGACACACAAAGAGACCCATAGACTCACACAGAGACCCATAGACTCACATAGAGACCCATAGACACAAAGAGACCCATAGACACACACAGAGACCCATAGACTCACACAGAGACCCATAGACTCACACAGAGACCCATAGACTCACATAGAGACCCATAGACACACACAGAGACCCATAGACTCACACAGAGACCCATAGACTCACACAGAGACCCATAGACTCACACGGAGACCCATAGACTCACACAGAGACCCATAGACCCACACATAAACACATAGACTCACACAGAGACCCATAGACTCACAGAGACCCATAGACTCATACAGAGACCCATAGACACACACGGAGACCCATAGACTCATACAGAGACCCATAGACTCACAGAGACCCTTAGACACACACAGAGGCCCATAGACTCACACAGAGACCCATAGACTCACACGAAGACCCATAGACTCACCCAGAGACCCATAGACTCACACAGAGACCCATAGACTCACACGGAGACCCATAGACTCACACTGAAACCAATAGACTCACACATAGACCCATAGACTCACACAGAGACCCATAGACTCACACAGAGACCCATAGACCCACACAGAGACCCATAGACTCACACAGAGACCCATAGACTCACACAGAGACCCATAGACTCCCACGGAGACACATAGACTCACACCGAGACCCATAGACTTATACAGAGACCCATAGACTCATACAGAGAGCCATAGACTCCCACGGAAACCCATAGACTCACACAGAGACCCATAGACTCACACAGAGATCCGGACGAGTGAGCATGTGGGTGAGCGTGTGGGCGAGCGAGCGAGTGGGCCAGTGAGCGAGTGGGCGAGTGACTGGGCGAGTAAGCGAATGGGCGACGGCGTGTTGGTGGTTGTACACAGTGTGTCGGATGAGACGAAACCGTGAGGTGGTGGTAGCGATACAAGCAGGGCCGGATTGAGATTGTGTAAGCCCCTGGTCTACAGGTACTGTTGAGGCCCCCCAATAACATTTTCAAAAAGAAAATAAATTTAAAGAAAAACTAAAATTTTTTTTTTCACAATGCTAACAACAAATAAAATTCAGCATTCACAAGTGAATTCACTTTTCACTTCATCTCTGAAGGCCCCCTCCAGGTGGCGGAGGCCCTTGGCCCTGGATACAAGCCGAGTGATAAGGAGGCATAGGCCAATGACCAAGAACATAGTGGAAATTATATATATAGATAAAAAAAAAACTTTTTCAGAATTGTTTCCAAATAAAAAAAAACACACACACACACAACCACCGCCACCGCAGCAGTGCCACGATTATTAATTTCACGACGTAAAAATAGCAGCCATGAGCTCAGGAGGGCCTTAAAAATGTTGCTGCTCGTTCAGCGATAAGTGAGGCTTGAGGGCCACGCACACGTGGCGGCGGTGGCGCCTTGAAGGTGTCAAGTGTCCCCCTCGCTGTTATTTTTGGAAGTGGCCCGCGTTGGGCCCATGTTGAGCCAGGCAGCTGCTATAAGGGCGCCTGGCTCCTCATCCCACGGCTCTTCCATCGAGTGCTCCAAGCCGGCAAGATCAGCCACCCCCCGTCCGTTCTCTCCTCTCTCTCACTAGACAGGTACCCGACATCACACAGACACACGCGCACAGATACACGCGCGCGCGCGCGCGCGGTGGCTATGCGATGGTTACTACCTCGGCTGGTATACAGGAGGTCGTGGGTTCGATCCGTACCCTGACGCCTGCTGCTGCTGTGTATTTAGAGTTTGCGTCTCTTATAGCCATCACGGTGGCTAGGAGATGTTAACTACCTCGGCTGGTATATAGCAGGTCGTGGGTTCGATTCGGACCCTGACGACTGCTGCTGTGTATTTGGAGTTTGCGTTTCTCATCATCATCACAGTGGCTAGGAGATGTTAACTACCTCGCCTGGTGTACAGGAGGTCGTGGGTTCGATTCGGACCCTGACGACTGCTGCTGCTGTATATTTGGAGTTTGCGTCTCCATATCATCATTACGGTGGCTAGGATATGTTAACTCCCTCGGCTGGTATGTAGGAGGTCGTGGGTTCGATCCGGACCCTGACGCCTGCTGCTGCTGTATATTTGGAGTTTGCGTCTCTTACCATCATCACGGTGGCTAGGAGATGTTAACTCCCTCGGCTGGTATACAGGAGGTCGTGGGTTCGATCCCGACCCTGATGCCTGCTGCTGCTGCTGTATATTTGGAGATTGCGGTGTCTCTCTTTCCCCTCGCCCACCGCGTGGTCGAGGGGATTTTTCTCCGGGTCCCCCCGTCCCCCCACGTTATGAATCAACATCCACGCGTTGAGAGTATTTGACCGCAACCAAACATTTCCACGCGATGAGCCGCTGCGTTGAATTCGACGGAACATTTAGAAACACGCGTTTAGAGTGTTTGGCTCCTATAAATGTCCGCGTGATGATGATTATAAGCCAACTTCGTTGAGCTATCAGTTGTGATGGTTAGGTCGCTTCTAAAAAAATTAACCCGTAAAAACAAAGTTTTTCACTATAAATCCTTTATATGCGTGGCGGCTAGAGTCCTCTCGTCCTCTGGCTTGAGATGGCTGCCACCTATGGGTCAGATGATTGCCTGCCACCATTAAGCAATTGGTAATTAAATATCATATTTTTTCCCTAAAAAGTGTACAATTTTGGAAAAAAATGTTCACGAAAATAAATTGTCACGCACAACGAGTCTGTGTGCAAAATGTCAGCTCGATTGGATCACGGGAAGTGGGTTAAAAAACGACCGAAAGATTTGCACGGTCGTAAGCGCGCAAGCAAGCAAGCAAGTGAACTTAATATATAGGATTTAAAAAAGAGCTACACAGCCCAGTGGTGCCTTACCTGGTGAAATGTAAAAGAAAAGTAAAATGCAAAAAACAAAGATACCCACCCGTATAGCTTTAACATACTTTCGAGGCAAGTGGCTGTTAGCGAGCACCTATACAGGCCGGGTGTGGGGTGGCCAGCACCACGCCCGGCCGCCTTTGTCTCCCTAGTAGTATCGTAATAATCGAGGGCAACTATTCGTGTCGTTGTGGATGACGAGCGCTATCTTGTACCCAAGTGATGAGTGCCTTGCGCCGATGAGCATCACATTGGAAGCCCAGCCGAGCTAGCAGCGAGCGGCGTTCCGGCAAAAAAATCCGAGCGAGACCTAAAATCGCGTGCGATCGTTCCGCATTTCGTTACAAGGCCGTAATGATAATATATATTTGGGGGGATGTGTGTCCCCCCAATATTCAAATATACTCAAAATGCCCCCCCCCCAATATATTGCTATAAAATAGATTTCTGTTGAAATTATTGTGGTTATGGTTGTACTTTAATAATCCCTAATCTCTGCCATTACATACAATGAAACAAGAAAAGGTAAAAAATGAAAAAGACAGAGCAATGTAATACAATACACTATTAGATATTGTTGTAAACAAAAATTAATAAAAAGTCCATCCGATGTGTTTGTGAATTGTTTTTATATTTTAGGCAGGAAATTCGTTTTCAAATGTAGATATTTTTCTGGGTTGGGACCCACTGGAAGATTTGGTCCCCTCCAATGTTGACCCCATGGCTACGGCCTTGGTACGGTATGTCAAAGACGTGGCATCACCTTGCTTGTGCATTCCGCTCATTTCCGTGCCGAAAAAAAAGAAATTTGTTCGTTTAAACTAAGTGGGGTTTTTTTTAGTTGTCGCTGCATTTACAATTCGTGTATGACGTGCGTCAAACTCAATGCATGAATGTGAATAGATGCTACTACGTATATCATTCCGAGACAATGCCCCCGAGGCTGAAAATTCCGTCACCGCAGAGCGCATCATGTCAGTACATGCGTAACAAATGCTACCTTATGTATGTACTCGTGTTATGTATGTGTACTCGCACATGTTACGTATGCGCTCTGCGCGTGTCAACACGTGCAGAACGTGGCGAGGTCTACAGAGGTGTGACTGATGGGAATTCTCAGGGTGTTCTCGCAGGGCCTAGAGAGCTGAGTGAGCGATGCCTATTCTAATGATGCCCTAGAAAGGCTGGCGAACTGAGTGAGTGGGTTACATTCTAATAATGCTCTAGAAGGGCTAGAGAGCTGAGTGAGCGATGCCTATTCTAATGATGCTCTTGAAATGCTAGAGAGCTGAGTGAGTGATGAACATTCTAATGATGCCCTAGAAAGGCTGGAGAACTGAGTGAGTGGGTTACATTCTAATGATGCTCTGGAAGGGCTAGAGTGACGAGTGAGTGATGTTACATTCCAATGATGCCCTAGAAGGGCTAGAGTGCCGAGTGAGTGATGTTACATTCTAATAATGCTCTTGAAATGCTAGAGAGCTGAGTGAGTGATGAGCATTCCAATGATGCCCTAGAAGGGATAGAGTGCTGAGTGAGTGATGTTACATTCTAATGATACCCTAGAAGGGCTACAGAGCTTTAGTGAGTGATTGGAATCTCGAACGAAGTTTCAGTGGTGCTAGAGCGGTGAGTGAGTGATGTAAGCTCTTGCTGCAGGTGCTCTAGAAGGGCCCAGAAAAGACGACGCGACTCGCGATCGACAAACATAATATGCCCCCTCCGCCCATCGCTAAGTTCCGGCGAATTCAAAGTTTCTTGCGAGAACAAAGACCCGTGATTAGCGATGGTCCGCTAGATGCCACGCGCAGCGGGCGCGAGGAGAGAGAGAGAGCAGAGAGAGACTTTGACTTTTTAAGCAACTTTTATTGCCGCCAGCAGCAACAGCACTGGAGGCGATTCCGATATGAAATACACAAAGTCACAAGCAACACAAATGAAAACAAACGCTACAAATCCACGCGCCGTGGCGCTAAATGCACCGCGCACAACACGAAAGAAAAGCCACGTGGTGTTGGTGGTGGTGGTTGTGGTGGTGGTTGTGGTGGTTGTGGTGGTGGTGGTTGTGGTGGTGGTTGTGGTGGTGGTTGTGGTGGTGGTGGTGGTTGTGGTGGTGGTGGTTGTGGTGGTGGTGGTTGTGGTGGTGGTGGTGGTTGTGGTGGTGGTGGTCACCGCGCACGCCACGGTGACAAGCGAGCGCTTCAGAAGGTGAACACCACGAGGGTGCCGTCCACGCTGGTGCAGAGAGGGGCTTGTCCGGCTCCCCAGCGCTCGAAGAAGACGCGCTGCACATCACCGACATGTGAGCAGAGCGAGAGAGAGAGCAGAGAGAGAGGGAGGGGGCCAGCGAGCGTATTGCGTGAACGTCGACCAAAGACTCGAAGCGTGCTCACTGATTGTCAATGAAGGTGCCACCACAATTGCGCACAGTGTAGGCTTGAGAGGTCATTTCTCACTATCGATGTGCACGTGTGTGTGTACGCACTGCGCTACGAACCCGGCGACCCGAGTTCGATCCCCGCTCGCGGCCACCAACACCAGGTGACGATTATCTGAATCGGTCCTGGGCCCTCCCCTAGGTCGGCTCAGCCTCAAATGAGTGCCTGGTGCGGTGTGTAGTCAACGTCGGCACTAGGGGAGACAAAGGCGGCCGGGCGTGGTGTTGGCCACCCTGCCCCATCTTGTGCCGTGACGGCCTTAATAGGTGCTACTCGCTAACAGCAAAGCACTTGCCCCAACAATCTGTTGACAGGCTATACGGGGGACCTTTGTCTTTGTGTATATTGTAACTTACTTCTCAACCTTGACCGAGTGCCCGTCTCTTCACGCACGTGAATTGCGTTGATCGTCGACATCATCATCACCATCATCACGATCATCATCATCGTCATCACCATCATCACCATCATCATCATCGTCATCACCATCATCACGATCATCATTATCGTCATCACCATCATCACCATCATCATCATGGTCATCACCATCATCACCATCATCATCATCGTCATCATCATCGTCATCGCCATCACCATCATCACCATCATCATCATCGTCATCACCATCATCATCGTCATCGCCATCATCACCATCATCATCATCGTTATCACCATTATCATCATCACCATCATCATCATCGTCATCACCATCATCACGATCATCATCATCGTTATCACCATCATCACCATCATCATCATCGTCATCACCATCATCACCATCATCATCGTCATCACCATCATCACCATCATCATCGTCATCACCATCATCACCATCATCATCGCCATCGCCGCTATTCTGTCACGATCGATCCACTGCTGAATAAAGGTCTCGCACCCCCTCCTCCTCTCCTCCCCCAAGCTGTAGCCACCTGTCTATCTCGATTTAAAGCTTTCGTGACTGCAGGAATTCATATCCGTAGTTCTTTCGGTAAAGTCACGTAGAAGGGAAACAATAAAATAATAAAAATAAAACATAATAAAATTCTGACGACGTTTCGGCCACAACGCAAGCAGCCGTCCTCAGGTGAAGAAATTGAGCTGTCGGAAAGACAGCGTCTTAATCATCAACGTCTTAATCTTAACGTTTTAAGGAGCGTAGAATTGTCCACGAGATGATTTCATCGTTCCATCTCCCACCCTGGACGTGTTCTCTCCATCGGTTAATAAATACGTAGTGCAGTACTAGCCCCCCATTTACGTCTCCGCCCCCCCCCCAACTTTTATGTCGTTTTACAAATACGTCA